GGTGCGCGGCGTGCCGGGGTGCTGCGGGAGACACGGAATGGGGCCGTGCCAGTGGGCAGGGTGGAGAGACACATCCTACATCCGCTGGGCGAGCGGTGGTGGCATCCTCCCGTCGTCAGCTGTTCCTGTGTTCAGATGAGTTTGCCACGGTCGCAGTGACAAACCGTTAATATTGCCACATGTTCGTGGTAGCTGTAATGAGTGTAATGAGGTTTTTACAGTCTGCTCGAATAGTCGTGTTAAACTTTACCTGCTATTGCTGCGGGGCTCCCTTTGCTGGGGTTTCTTTTACGAATTTCCCGTTTAAGGGCACAACTTTCATGTACTCTTTGAGAGGCACCTTGGTGTTGGTTGGTTTGTGGGGTTTTTTTTAACTTAGGACAAAATGCTTGGCAAGTTTCCCCCTTCGTAGTAGTGAAATAGCAAATTTAAGGACAATAATAAACAAGAAGTGTGGTGAAACATCTGTTTCTTGGGTTTGGTTGTGTTAAGTAAACCTTTAATGTGTTTGATGAGTCATCTGTCAAGAAGAATGTGTGAAGCACAGTGGTGTGTTTGTTTTCTGTCCCACAATGCTTCTCTTGTGCTTATTATTTAAGAGAAATGTATACCTGAGAGGATATGGAAGATTTGAGACCTCCTCTTCGAATCACAGAATGGTTTGGGTTGGAAGGGACATTAGAGATCATCCAGTTCCACCACCCCACCTCCGCCATGTGCAGGGACACCTTCCACTAGACCAGGTTGCTCAAGGCCCTGTCCAACCTGGCCTTGAATAATCAGCTTTTATAATACAGTGATTTGGATGAACTCAATCCCATTTATGTGCAATATAGAAAATGAGATGTTTGATAAACACAAATTCTGATGCTGTTTGCTCTGGCGCCTTATAATCCGTCTCGCCTTGTGGCAAAACACACTGGCTTTGTCATGCACCAATCTAGCTGATACCTGAAAGCATTAAAATTCTTCTTGCAGTGTATTTCACTGAAGTAGAGTTGTTTTTAAAAGGAAAAAAATACCTGATTTTATAGCATATTAGTATTTTATCTTTAGATACAGGAAAGCTTTTTTAAATTTTTTCTTTTTTGTAGGTAGTAATATGCTTTCTGTCAAAAAAATAAGTAATTTCACTGTAAACACCTTATGTTCATTAAAATGTATAAAGTCTGCCAACTTTTTTCCATGCTTTTCATTTTCTTGACTGTTCCTCTGCAATCCAACTTCATTCCACAGCCACTTGGAAATCTAATCAAAGTAAATTAGAGTCCACAGTTACGTCTTGAATATTAAAAATATGTTTTCATTAATTTTGTAACTTTAAAGTGTTAAGGATGGGATGCAAGGTTACAAACTGCTAATTTGACTCTGTTGCAGGACTGCAGTAACTTTTCAGGTTCATACATTGCCTCTATGTCTTTTGTGAACATTAGGTTATGGCTATACTGGAAATGGGTTTGTGGATCAACCTTTGTACTGGATTGGAGATAACTGCTTTTTTGTTTGCTTGTTAGAGAGATTAAAGCACTAAATAAATAAGCTTTAAAAAGATAGTTAAACCATATTCTTCAAATGTCTAAAGCAAAACAAAACAAAAAAGCCAAATACACTTCATACCCACCAGTTCACCAAGAAACAGGCTGTTCGTGTTAGAGTTCCTACATTTCTCAAGGACATTGAGTTTGATATAAAAAGTTCAAATAACTGGGGTCTTAATTCTCAATTTACCTGAAGCTTTTCTGGTTTAAAATTGTGAGTTTAATAAAAGTGTTAGTGTTTTGTGTTTGTTATGGAAAAAGTACAAGTAAGCAATACAAGATACAAGCTGTGTAAAGTCCACCTTATGTAAGAATTTAAACCATTATTTGGTTGAGTGGTGACTTACAGGAAGTATGCTTCCATTACTGTTGATCTTTTGGAATTTATTGTAAACTAATGCACTGAAGCACTTTCAGCTTCTCTTTTGCTGCTTTTCAGTTCACTTTATTTTTACTACTTCATGCTCAGCAGAAACTTTCACTGAAACATTTTTGAGTTTCAGCTGAGCACAAAGACCTGAAGAAGGTTCAGTTCTCAATTTATAGTTTGCTGTAGTCTTTACATTCTTTGCTGTTACACAGTCCAGTTAATCCTTCAATTAAGACCTTGTTCTTAAGAAGTCCCTTAATCTTTCTAAGTAATACATTTCCAGACTTCTAGATCTTACTCTAAAGAAGTCCCTATAGTACATGTAATCAAGCTCAATTACATGCTGCTTTTTTAAAGAATGGTTTTTGTTCCTCTTCAATGCCCTTGGCATTTGGACAGGGTTATCTTTATTTTTGTCAGGTTCATACTTACCAGAATGAGGTATGCTAATTTTTTATATACTGTACTGTGCATTTACTCAGTACTTTCCATTTGCAGGTCTTAACTGAGTTTATAAAACACTAATGTGGAACTATTAATGCCCTTTCAGAAGTATTACTGAAACTTCACCGACAGTCAGGTTGTTGCTTTTGGTGGCTTCACTACACTGAATTGGAAGTTTGGAGAAGGGAGTCTGGAGTGTCTGAATCGCAACCTTATGTGCTTACCACAAAACCTGGTCAGATTCTATTGTGTTTCAGTTTTTCTTTAATAATTAAACTTCAGCGATTGTTGCCTTGTGGATTTGAAACACTAGAATGTAAGGACTCTGTAGGCAATCCCTTTTGAAGCCTGTGCCAATGTGCTTGCTCTGTTAGAGGCCAGTGTCAAATGCTGAAGGCGATAGGGCAGGCACACAGAAATAAAGTTGCTTGTTTCCAGCTTCCTGAACTAAAAGTAATGCTTGTATTTCGCCTTCCCCTCCCCTCCAGCTCTTAATGGATTACCTCTCTCAATTTGTTTAATTTCTTCTGAACCTAACCTTTAATTTTTGACAATGTTCTTGAAGCAGTGAGTTACATAATTTAACTGTGCATTTCATGAGAATTTGCTTTATCTGTTTTAAACCTTTTACCCAGTGATTTAATTTAATATCTCTGGTTTTGCATGTGAGAAACTGTAAATGGTCTATCTTCCCATTTTTTGGCAGTTTGTGGGTGTTTTGTTTGTTTGGGGTTTTGTTTGGTTGGTTGGTTTTTAATAGGTCTTTTGCTGTTTCTCTGCTGCCAGCCCTTTTACATTTTAACCATCTTCAGGCGGAATAATTCTGGTCTCTTTAATCTTTCCTGATAAAACTGGTCAAAAGCCACTGTAAAACTCCTTTCCTTTTGTAGTTCTGTGTGTTCTTTTTGAAAGGTGGAGACAAACACAGTGCTTTAAGTATTGAGGTACAGCATGGATTTATACCATAGCATAACAGTGTTTTCTGCTTGTTCTCTGTCCTGTTAGTATTGATGTTTAATGTACTCTTTCTTTCTTTCTCTCAACAACATTCAGCTGGTATTTCCTTAGAAATACTTTTCCTTAGATACAGTAACTCCATAGTCTGTTTACTTACAGGTAATTTATGGCTCATCAGTGTAAATAAATACTTCTGATTTTATCCAGGTGCATTACTTTGCACTTATCAACAATAGTTCTTCTGTTTTTTTATCATCTGATCATTCAGTACTGTGAGATTCTTTGCAGCTCTGACAGCATACCAGAAATGTGTCACTTTGCTGTTCATTTCCTTTTCCAGAAGTTAATATATTGATCAGGTTCTTGGTTGGGTGCCTGTGGGACTCCTTTGGTCACACTTTGAACGCTGATCACTTGCTTCTCCTCATTTCCTGTTCTCAAGCCAATTAGTTATTCATGAAAAGCCCTTTTCCCTTTTTAACCAAAGGCAGCATTACTTCTTTAAGAGTCTTTGAGAAAGATTGCCAAAAGCTTTTAGAAAATCCAAGTATGTTGACAGCATCCCTGTGCTCTTTCAAGGTATCAGATATTCCAGGCAGTACTTTATCTTCAGATGCTACCTTAAAACATTCATGTTGTGTCATATTTATCTAAGTGTCTGCAAACTGTTTTTTTCTGGTTTGCATGGTACAAGGATCATCATGGTATCACAACTTTTCCCATTAGCAGGAATAGAATTCCTGGTTTGTAATGGCAGGTTTTCCCCTGGGACCTTAAGTTAGTGTCCTGTTTGCCACCTCCCACTCCTGTGGCACTGAGACTACTTCAGGTGATAAGACTATAGTAACAGAGCAGGTATTTTCTAAGTCATTTTCTTTACAACTCTTTAACTGAACGGTATCTGGTTTCAGCCATTTGTTTTGAATAGCCTGTTTTGTTTCTGTTTTAAAGTCTCTTCTTTTGTCTTTTCCTCTCAGGACACTTCTTTTGCTTTGTCCCCTGTTAAGAAGGTTTGACATAAGCTCTTTTGTGACTTTCCTGACAGAGAAGGAAAAAATATCTGCTGGTTAATTTTTTTTTTTTTAGTTTTGTTTCTGGTTTTGTCATAAGTGCTTCTTAGGTTTCTAAGAGTGCCCTTTGCTATAATTTTATTTGTACAGTGCATTGCCTTTGTTTATCCAGGTTATCTTGTATAGTTTTCACAGAGACTTTGCAGTTCAGTATGTTCTTTCAGCTTTCTTAGATCATTAAATGGTACTGTACTGAATATTTTTGTAACCCATTTAGGTCCTGCTCAGGTTCCAATGATGTCCCCAAATGGTTCAGTGCCTACTATTTATGTGCCTCCTGGATATGCCCCACAGGTATGTCCCTTCATTTGATTATTATTTTATTTCTTTTCCTGCAAATTATGAGAGTAAAACCATAATAGCTAATGCAGTAAATAGCATCAAGTTTCAGAGTGGTTATGCAAGTGTATAAGGGGAGATGGCCATGGTATCTCTGTGATGGGAGACTTCTCATGCTGTGTATGTATCTGTTTAGTTATATATTAACTACTTACATGACAATAACAACCACAGTTCCTTGTTGAGTTCAGGATCCCAATGTACTAGATGTCCTCTGAATATAAAATACAGTCAGGAGCTAGCTGCTCATTGTGCAGGACCTGTACTGATTTCTGTGTTAGTGGATGTTTTCTCTTGGCACCAATATAATTTTATATAGGTTCATAGTTCATGTCCAGAAGTTCCGTGCAGGTAAGGACTAAAACAGATCAGTTAGAAAAAGCGTAGCAAACAACATGGGAAAAATGTCTGCTGTCCATTAGGGATAAATTAGCATATAATACATGCTTCCCCAGCTTGTCTTAAAATGGGACTTTCATTTTCTCACTGCTGTGAGATTCCTAGTTTAGATGCCCAAAAATTAAATGTGAGCTAGATAACCTGGACTAAAAGGATGGTTCCTTTTGGCTGATTTTGACATTTGTGTTATAATGAGATCTATGGCCTTTTAGATGTCATTTTCTTTCCCTCAACTACAGAACAAGTCTAGGGGTTAGTAGGTCAGACCCAGAAGTTAGAGCAGATGAATACAGCTCTCCATAATGTCATTCTCATGATACTGTGTTGTGACCAGTCTGCCTCTGACTCGGCTTGCATCCAGCAGTGTACACCAAGAGGAGACTACAGCATGTAAAATGCAACCAAAAAACCCACAGTGCCTAGCAGATGTTGGACTAATTATCTGAACAGCTTAAGAAATTGTCCTCTAGCAAAAGAAAAGGCTGTTAGATTAGGCACTTAACACTCTGTGGGTTTACCTTTCATCTATTGAAAGTTGTCTGGTAAGTTGATTTGTGTATCCTTCATAGTTGAGTTCCCAATCAAGTGGAAGAAAAATGAATTAAAAATAATAGTAAAAGTCCATTTATCTTTAAGTCATAATAAAAAGTCTTGATTTGTATTAGAATTAATTTTTAAAGAACTGAAGCAACTTTTGAGATAAGTGAATTTCTGAGTAGTTACACCGTATTTCTAGAGTGCTTAATTTCAGTTGATGGGGTACTTAATGTTTAAAAAGTTGTGTAACCTGTGTCAATCACAGTAGTATTTATAAAATGCATTTATCCTTCCTTTGAGGGTGACTTGCACTAGACAATCTGAAGGACGGGGCCTTGCTGAGGCACGCTTGTTAGCCTTTCATTGGAGCTTGTTAGTGCAAGCAGGTGTTGTGCTAACACAGCGCTCTGGCTTTTGAACTGAAGGTGCTTCACTGTACAGAGTGAAGCTCAGAGTACAAGTGGAACAAGCTCACGTCTGCTGTCTGTATTTGAGTAGAAGTATCATAGTCCTGGAAATCCTGTAGTTTATAAGGCTTATGAAGTATTTACTACTGACAAAGCATAGCAGCTGTTTAGTTCTAGGATGGAAGTTCCTGTTACAAGCCAGGAGATTTGATAGTAGTTTTGCAAACAGGAAAGTCTAAAACTGTTGAGCTAACAGTTATCCCAGACTTAATGCAGTCCCAGCAAAGTAACTTACATGGTTTCTTCATGTATAATACAATTTTAAATGTCAGCAACTGCAGGTATATTTTGAGAGAAATTGGAAACCGGCTAAATGTCTAGTGTTATCAGCCTGGAAGAACAACTTCAGCATAACCATCTTTTGTCTATCCATTTTCATTTAGTTCTGTTATGCCTTTGCTTACTTCAGTTCCTGTTTGGCAGTGATACTTCCTGTGTTAGAAGTTGGGCATAACTACAGAATAAAGCATATTTATTTTTCTCATATCACATAAGTAAAAATTCATTAGTTGATTAACTTCTACATTCCTTTTCTGTAGTTGTAAAACTCTGAAAGAAATAGCATCTTTATTCATCCTCTCTAGGTTGTCTGTATTAACTGTCTGTAGTGAGTTGTCCAGCGATGTTTAATTGGTTAACTCAGACAAACAGGCCTAAGCCAGAACTACATGTTTTGCCACTACAATTAGGATAATTGGTAGCTTGTTTACTTTTTTAAACTTAAAATTGTATAATTGATGTAATGCTCTTACTGCTTTTGGAGGGGTTTTATCTGTATAGTTGCCTGGGAGAGGCCTACCATTGAGTTGATATTTGACTTAGAGGCACAGTTACAGACTTATCAAACTCTTCATTTTACACTATTAAACTGAAGGTCCCTGCTGCTATAAGTTAGGTATCTATTTCTGAGTTACTTAGGGTATTAGCAGACCTAAGAAAACAAATAAATTATAAACTAAGTAGCCTGGATTTTGTTGGTTTAGTTTTGGTTTTTTTTGTTTTTAATGGAAACTGCTTCCTATGTAATCTGAATCTGCTTATAAAGTCATGATATTGCAATTCTTCTTGTAAGCAAAAAGGACTTAATTAAAACAACATTTCTGTGTTTAGATAATTTCACTGGACAGCAGAACTTCTATTTGTATTTGCTTCTGTTAATACATCCTGCCTTTAGGATACCACACAGCTATGGTTGCACAGATATGAAGAATGTTGTCTTCAGTGAAGTTACTCTTTCCCAATATGGGACAATTTCTGCATACTGAAAATAGCCCCTTTCTTAAAGTCGCACGGTGTGTATGTGTTTTAAAGCCATATTCACTTAGGTAATTTACATTAATTTTCAGCTCTCTAGGGTGGGTTCAGCTCCATTGTGCATACTTTTATGTCTTCTGAATTTTATTGCATATGCATGGAGATCCTCATGCTGTCATTACACCAGAAGCATACAGCTGTGTCTACATAACTGTCTTTCTAAGTATAGTAGTGAAGTTTTGAAACAAAACCCTAGACCAGCCTCACTAGCTTGCATTGGTTCAGCTAGCAGGATCATTTTGGGGGGTATAAATTAGGTCTCTGTAAGAGAAAAAAAAAGTGAAAGTTCCATTTCAGATGTACCAGATGCACACCAACCCCTAATGGAGACCTGGAAAAAACAATGACTGATCCTCCAAGGAGCATTCTGTCATGGACTTGGTGGAACTGACCACACCAGGGCATGGGAGTAAGTCTAGCCAAGCATAATACCTTTAAGCTTAAACAGTGGAATTGGAAGCAGCTTGGCACTAAGAACTTTGATTTGTTGATCTGTTCCTCTTGCACCAGGTTGCTCATTGGCGTATGTGTGTACATGTTCACACCTCATTTCAAATGTCAGTGAAAACTTAGGTTGTAGGGTTTCCTTGTTCCCTGTTTTTGAATGTAGTCATGATATTCCAGATTCCATTCTTCTCCCCGTTTTCTGGATAAATGTTTAATCTAAAAGCCTACATGGCAGTCCCTGCCGTGGCATTATTTTACAGGATTTTTCTAGGATGTGGAGAACAATTTATCCATTGGCATCCAGACACTAAAGTTATTAACACCTGTATATATACAAGTAAAATCATGTCAAGATCATCTCTAGATATTGCCATCAGTCATATATTTTTGTGAGTGTTTTCTGCTTCAGTGCCTTTGTGCCTGCTCTCCACCAGATTTCTATATGCTACAGACCCCAGACAAGCTACACATGCCGTGGAGAGCACAACTCAACTCCTTTCAGTTCTTAAAAAGAGCCTATAAGGAAAGACTTTCTAGCAGAGCCTGTTGTGACAGGGTGAGGGGTGATGGTTTTAAACTAAAAGAGGAGAAATTCAGGCTGGATGTGAGGAAAAAATTCTTTGCAATGAGGGTGGTAAAATCCTGGCACAGGTTGCCCAGAGAGATGATGGATGCACCATCCCTGGAGACATTCAAGGCCAGGTTGGATGTGGTTCTGGGCAACCTGATCTAGTCGAAGATGCTCCTGCTTCTTGCAGGGGATTGGATTAGCTGACCTTTGAAGGCCCCTTCCAACCCAAACTCTTCTATGATTCTAAGTATCTTATGTTACCACGCTTACTCTCACCATGGGATTGCATATGCTACTTTTGTTTCTTTGAAATTCTAACAACATTGCTAAAAGCCGCACTCCCGTACCTCAGCTGCAGGCTTGTCCTGTCACATCTCCCATTTGCCATTTTTGTACAACAAGCCTCTTTGCACACCGGAGTCTGGCAGAGGCTGACACGGAGGCCTCCGTTCCGTGTGTAGCATGTGGCTTCCTTCAGGGTACAAGACAGGCAAGGGGAGAGGAAAGAAAACAAAATTCTTCCTAAAAACTACCTTGAGTTGTGAGGGAGTCTTGCGAGGGCTGACTACCATCCTGCTGGGTTTTGTGCTTCTACAGCTTGATGCAGGCAAAGGCTGCCACTCACTGTGGGGTGCAGTATGGCATCTGCCTCCTGGGTTAGTGCTGGTGGACTGGGGTGGGCATAGAACAAAGACCAGACACTGTTGTGCTTTTTCTATCACTATTTGTGAGGAGTGAGGTCTGTCCACCTGCCAAATCACTTCTAGGGAGCAATCTAGTTGTTACGCTGTCGAGCAAACATGAGGAGCAGTGTAGCATACAAGCAGTATGAGTGAGGGTGGAAACAGGGCCCTGGGGAGAAGCTAGGCTCATGCTATAAATATACCTGGTTGTTTATAAGATGTTGTTACAGTCTTGGTTTTTTTTAAACATGTTTTTCCTCATCACATTGAGAAATGAATGGCATCGTTGCAGTTAATACACTTAACATAGGTAGCCCTTTAATTGTCCTTTTTTTTTTTGTTTATGCTCTCCTCCTATTTTCTCACATTTAAGGGGTTTACTATTCCTAGTTTTCTGTCTACAGAAATATGCCTTGCAGACTGTCATTCCCCTTTTGGTGCGTTGTCTCTCACTGTGCAGGTTATTGAGGATAACGGTGTTCGAAGGGTTGTGGTGGTTCCCCAGGCTCCAGAATTTCATCCTGGTGGTCACGCAGTGATACACAGGCCTCCACATCCCCCACTGCCTGGCTTCCTTCCTCTTCCAGCCATGATACCCCCTCCACCACGTCATATATACTCACCTGTGACCGGAGCTGGTGAAATGGCAACACAGTACATTCCACAGTATCACACCTCGCAAGTGTACGGGGATCTGGGTAAGTAGCTTATCAAATATTGCAAGTTCTGTCAAAGGAAATAATGCTCTACTCATTTCCAACATCTGTTACGTGGATGCCCGAGTTTTGTCAAGCAAGACCTGCAGTTTGAACGGGAGCTATACACAAAAATTTAACGAGGATACCAGTCTTGTTTTTACTGAAGGTTGTTATTTCAGAAGTTATTTTAATGGATCACTGAAGAGACAAGTCAAATTAATTAAACATACAGACTGTTTCATATGTGTATCAGTTATAGGTTTGCCCAGGCAAGCAATGCAGGAAGTGTTTGTAGTGATTCAGCTGATGCCTTCCTCTGAGATTCAGAGTTTAAGTCCATACCTGAGCACTGTTCTGAGACCTCGTCTTGCAAGTATCCCATTTGAAGCATGAAATGGGAGTTCTTGCTGTTGATTATGTAAAAACATTTGCTATTTTTCTGCATAAAACTGTATGCATTTATTCCAATGTCTATACTGAAGTACAACTTGAATGATCAGGTGTTACCAACCTAAACTTAATATTGAAGATGTGTTTGGTAGTGTTACTTGCATCTGTCTTTTAATATCGTTTAGAGGCAATGTGTATGTGTATACTAACTCAGGGGTTGGGTTGTTAGATTAATATTTACATTTCTGGCAGACTTGTTTTTCTTTTGATAAGCTTCTGCAGTAAGGCAGGTGCTGACCTTGAAGTCTTTGAGAGCAGTGCCAGGTTGCTTTTTTTAGAGGAAAAAGCTAGACACTATAGAGGGGGAGGCTAAACAGAACTTTGTGATGTTGCCGTAGATGCATAGATCCTCAGTGTTCTATGATACTACTAAAAAACATCTTTAAAAATGTCCTCCATGTGGTCACTGTGCTTAAATAGTCGTCATGTACAAAGCTGTCAGATAAGACTGTACTGATGTCTTCCTGGAATTCTTAGTGTTTCTGTATTCTGAAGTTGTACTTTATTTCTTCCTTGCACTACTTTGGTAACAGTCCTTTATTAGATGCTTCTTGGGTGCTTATTCATAGTTTTATTAATTTCTTGGTTTTCTGTAGATGGCAGGTATTTGCTTTTAGTTTGCTAAATGAAGAGATCAGAGTATGATATTTAAATGCATAAAAGGTAAAGGATACTTCTTAATGGAATAGTATTTTTTAGATTTCTGCTGCTAGGGTATATCCCTTTATTAATTTGGTGATTCTGCAAAACTGCTAATGTAGAAAAAAAATTGATAAAGTGGGATTCTTTGGTTTTGCTTTGTTTTAAATATATATGTAAGATGCCCTTGGATTTAGGGAATTAAAGGACTAGGGATTGTAGAATCATAGAATGGTTTGTGTTGGAAGGGACCTTAAAGCTCATCCAGTTCCAACCCCTTGCCATGGGCAGGGACACCTTCCACTAGACCAGGTTGCTCGAAGTCCCATCCAGACTGTCCTGAAGCTAGGTTAGATGCTGTAATTTGTTACATATTTGCTGTAAATTTCCTATTTAATTCTGGACCACTGACTTTGGCTCTCACCCTAAGAAGTCAAATCTCATAGCTAAGGTCCTATATGAGTCTGAATTTAAGGTGGGGAAAAACCTGGAAGTACTTATTGCATGGTAGTTCTCCAACAAGAGCACTTAAATCGCTAATGGTAGTAAATATCAAATTTGTAAATAATCACAGCTTATCTAGTAGTCCTCTGTCAGATTCTCTGAGAATTAAGTTAACCTAGTAAAACAGAAACTGAAAAGTTCTCTGGTTTTGTGGGTTTTATCCATCTTGCAAGAGAGTTTGTATTTAATCTTGTTTTCTATTCTTACGGTACATAAGAAATACAAAATAATGAATTCGTTCTTCAGCCCAAGTGATGCAATTTACCTGAAAAAGGACAAATTCTATGCTGGTTTTGAAGGATGTATTTTTTTGAAACTTTCATCATTTATCATAGGTAGGGTTACACTGAGGAAAGAGTTGGTGCCATGTGGTACTCTGATTTAAATTCTTGAGTCAGTAAGCTGAAATGGATAAAAATGTTAGAACTGGACAGAAAAGTTCACCAATCTGCAGTTTGGTTTTTTTCACTGGTGTGGTGCTGGCTTGTTTCCAAAGCCATGTTCTGACTTAGAGGTGGGACATCGGTGATATGGCACCAGTGCCTCGGGTTACTGTGTACCAGTATAGTGTACTTACAAGATGTAGCCATGCTATCTTCAGTCTTTTAGTGTCTTTCAGTTGCCCAATGCTTTTGTGGGGTTTTCCCCTGTTGATTTCTGCTGAAACATCATTAAAGTAATAGAACTAGTTGCATTCCAAAACTTCTGTATTTTTTTATTCAGCATTAAAGCAAACCTCCTCCTATGTAATAAAATAGCACTTTTTTCCTGTGGCGACTTTATCCTGTACCTTACAGCTCAAGGAGGATTATGGAAACAGTATAAGAGTAATTTTTAAGTAGAAAAAAGATGTTAGGGGAGAAAGTGTAATCTTTCCTTCCCACATGTTGTTAATGTTCACTTAGTGTGCAGCACATTACCTGCTGGACACTTCAGTTTTCCAATAGCAGTAAAGATGTGATTTCACACACAAGTGTGCACTTAGCACACATAGCATTTTCCAGTAAGTTTTTTAATTACATTCTGGTCTTAATGATTATTTTTCATTTTTTCCTCCTTTCATTTAGATACTCTGCCTGCTCATGGAAGATCCAACTTCAGAGACGAAAGGTCTAGTAAAACATACGAAAGGTTACAAAAAAAATTAAAAGATCGACATGGAACTCAGAAGGATAAGTTAAACAGTCCTCCATCATCTCCTCAGAAATGTCCTTCTCCTACCAGTGAACACAATGGACTTACAAAAGGGCAGGATGCAGCTGGTATAAGCACAAGTTCTACCAAAAGCAAGTCTTTGGGTAAAGGAAAAAGCAATTCTCAGACAGGCACAGAAGTAGAAGGTAAGTGTTAACGAAAATAATATATAATGCAAGCTTAGTATCTGAAGGAACAAGAATTTGTAGATAGAACACCACACTTAACAATCTTGAAGTTGGGTAGTAGCCTGTAACTGCCCCAACTTATGTAGAATGGAGTTAAGAGCAACTGGATCTGCTCATCACAGATGAGCAGATGGGTGTAAAAGAACAAAACCACTGACATGCAAGTCTCCACAGAGACTTGAGGAAAGAAAAATCTTGTGCTTTGTCCAGAGTTACTGGTGCTTACATTTTAAGGAATTGCTGGGTATCGCTGGACTGCTTGATATTGCAGAAAACATGGAAAGAACCAGATGTCTGATACGAGTTGAATGTAGATTTCCTGTTAAAGAGGAATATTTTGTGAAAGATGTACTGTTGTTATGTAAAATTCACATAATGCCTGTCCCTACCAACTCAACATTGAAAGGCCTTTTTAGAAGACGACTGGTCTTCACACTAGTTTCTGTGAGTTAATCTTTTCTTAGATACCACCATAGGAAGCGTGATTATCATTAATACCTGTATTTCACTGGAAAGCTTGTGATCTCATAAGTGGACTGAATTCACTCAGTCTTGGTCATAATGTCCTTGAATTTGATAATATGTCACTATGGAACTTTCAGGTCACTGACATAGCATTTCAGATTCAGAATGCAACTGGTCATCAGCCAAGTCCAATTTTCTCAGAATAGGGAGCTGTAACTTTTGATGCTGAAGGAAACAAACCATGATTTTCTCAGCTCACTGAAGTTTGCTTTGAGGTGATGATTTTGTGCCAATATCTATTAGATTGCTGTAAACCAAAAGGAATGTGAAGAAAGTATGTCTAACCAAGACCAAGAAATCTCAATCTACAAGAGCTGTTTGAAAACATGTGAAAGCTTAGTAGGAAGGGACACCTTTGAGACACAATCTGAATTCACAAGTTGGGAACTGTTATTCCAAACTTGAATGAACACTTGTCACTATAGTTCCAGAGTGGCATTTGTCTTGGCTTCAGTTTTCTTTCAGTTAGTTAGTACTTACTGTGAGCTAACTTTTCCAAGGCACAGGTGCTAAAATGTACTGTTGCTTACATATGTTACAAAAACTTTATTAAGGGCTCCATAGAAGTCTTTTAAATGAAAAATGGAAAAGCCCGCTCTTCAAAATTATTTCATTCAGGAGACATTTAGGAAAATAACGTGCTGTGACTTAGACCTGTAATAACAAACAGAAATGTATTTAATTATATTTTTAAGGCAGGTTGTTGTTGAAACTAAAGTTGAAAATAGATTTGACCTGGAGCTTTTAAAGAATTTTGCCAGGCTTTGATTTTTCTTTTTAGATTAAGGCAGGTTAAGTGAATTAAAAATGCCTGGCCACATCTCCAAAACTGAGTAGCCTGTTCACTTACTCTATTGAGATAATAAAATTTTAATACTGTGTGAGAGAAAGTACATAAACCACTTTGTATAATCTTTTGAGTCCTTTATAAAGCTCAGCTTTACTTTCAGCTGAAACAAAATACCTTAGATTCTTTCCCTGAGACATAACTGAAGACTAAGGTAAGGTTTGCCTTTGCAATTGAGGGAGGCCAACAGTGTTACCAGTAATCTGCCAGCTAAGGTGCAATAACATATTTAAACTACCATAACTTGACTGCATCTACATCCAAAGAGAAAAATCTATAGGAAATAACTCAGCCAAGAGCTTAAGTACTCCAGAGCAGTAGTTTATTTAAAGTTATTCATTAATAAAAGATAACCAGGCTTTCTGTATTCCATAAATCATAGAACGGATTTAGAAGTAGTTTTATACGAACAATGACTTTGAGACCTTTTTTTGGTTTTATGTTGCCCTAGATGAATGGAAATTGGCGAGGTGTTCAGTTTCATAAATACTTTAGTCTGTGTGCAGTGTTTGAATTTGAAGAGCTTTTTCACTGTAAAGTCACTGAACAATATTCATGGGTACTTCTTGTTTGCTTTGATTTTGTTTTTTAAGAAAAGGATGAAGAAACAAAAGCACTTGAAGCACTTCTTTCTAATATAGCCAAGCCGGTGGTAAGTAAATAGACCTCTGTGTAAAATCAGAATGTACCTGCTGCTGTTTTACATGGTTACACCTCCTTTTCTCTCTCCAAGTTGAAAGGATTTTTAACTTCCCACGCTAAAGAAAACTCACTTAACTTCCAGTCACTGAAATGTAAATGGCAAAAATAATTTTTAGTGTATTAACATTTATGAAGCTAAAATTGTCTTGATACTTATTACATGGAATTCTTCTTCTTGGCCATTCTGTGAAATCACGGTACTAAGAGAATTAAAAGAAATATATATAGAAAGAGCTTGTAACGTTGCCAGTAGCATAATGGTGATGCTTAACACCATCTCTTACTGTAAAATCTGTTCTCAATTTTCTGTAACATTCCTTAGTTCAGGATAAAATTTACATAACGGGTATCTCCAGGCATGTGAAATACCTGGTAAAGTTCTGGAAACCTCACCAAAAATGAGGATTTTGAAAACTTTATTTGAAAAGTAAGGAAAAATTGTGACAGATTTCTCTTTAAGAATTTCTGGCACCTCGAGGGAAGAGAGACATAAAATTTGCCAGGCAGGTGTCTGTAAGCAGTGGGCTTCTGTCTTACCTGCTTGAAAACCTACCAATTTCTTTTCAATTTGTTAAACTGTAATTCTTAATTCTGCATAGATAATCTTCAAAGCATGGTTGCCAAATTCGGTAGTTTCTTGCATTTTAGAGCAGGCCTGTGTTCTTTTTTTTTCCATCATCTGGACCTTCCCTGGTCCCAACCTTTCTGTGAGAATTTATACAACTTTACTGGATGCTGGGGAGGGACTCTTCATTAGGGACTCTAGTGGTAGGACAAGGGGTAATGGCTTTAAACTTAAACAGGGGAACTTTAGGTTAGATATAAGGAAGAAGTTCTTCACAGTGAGGGTGGTGAGGCACTGGAATGGGTTGCCCAAGGAAGTTGTGAATGCTCCAACCCTGGAGGCGTTTAAGGCCAGGTTGGACAGAGCCTTGGGCGACCTAGTTTAGTGTGAGGTGTCCCTGCTCATGGCAGGGGAGTTGGAACTAGATGATCTTAAGGTCCTTTCCAACCCCAACCATTCTATGATTCTATATATTTATACTGCACTTAAATCCTCGGTCCATCAGCTTGTGTGAATAAAACCAGTCTGAGTTCCCTATTGTAAACTACAAAAAGTCAATGCAACTCAGACTGCAGGAGGAGCTCACCATGGGTTTGTCCAGTCAGCTAGCTACTTCCTCATTCATCACATATCTTCTCCCCTTCACCTCCCAGAAAACCTGGCCCCAGTTTTAGTGCCCTGGTCTCGATTCTTCTTTCATATGTTGCTTTACAGCCTGATGAGGAGAGGCTGAGAAAGCTGGGACTATTTAATCTGGAGAAGAGGAAGCTCAGAGAGGACCTTATCAATGTATATGGATATGTGCAGGCCAAATGCAAAGCGGTTGGAGGCAGACTCTTTTCAGTATGCCTGACATCAGGACCTGAGGCAATGGGCACAAATTGAAACATAGGAGGTTCCCTGTAACCTAAGAAAACACTTTTTTACTGTGAGGATGGCTGAGCACTGGCACAGGTTGCCCAAGGAGTTTGTGAAGACTCCCTCTTTGAAGATACTAAAAATCTGCCTGGACACGGTTCTGGGCACCTGGCTTTAGGTGACTGTGCTAGAACAAGGGGGTTGGACCAGATGATGTCCAGGGATCTTGTCCATTGTCAACTGTTCTGTCATTCTGTGGTGCTTCAAGAGCTGAGCAGGGATAATAATTATAGAGGAAATCCTGAATGCTTGGTATCCAGCTCGGTCCAAGCATCAGAATGACTTCAGTGCATGTTAATATGTCTTCAGTGCACTTGTGTCTTTGGTGACTAAGTTTCAAGGAGGTGGAAGCTATCTGAAATAAATCCTGTAAGAAAGGGTTGAGAGAACTGACATGAAGAAATGGAGTTAGCTGATCCTAGCTACTGCTGTGGCATTCATAGTAGCTGGGACAGTCAAGTTCAGTAGCACTTAACAGCATGACTTTGGCAATTGGAGCTGGTGGAGTGGGCAATAAAATTTCTGGAGACGAAGCTGGGACTGAAAAGAAAGCTTCGGAAGATTAAAGTGTGGGAGAGAAAGGAAGTGAGTGGAGAAGAGACAGCTCTGACAAGGAGCACAGGTCCAAAGGATAGTCAAGACTTGAGAGGTCTGAAATAGATGAGGAGTTTAAGTTGAGAAAATGAGACCAGGAAGAAACAGAATAATAGGTCTGTTCTACTGGAAGAACAAGATGGAGAGCAAGTAGCTTTTACATTTGTTATGTTTACAAGCAGGCTGATAATGAAAAGGTGATGGAAGTACAACTGAGAGTGGTGAAGATTGTGGGCAGAAGTAGCAAGAGACTGAAACTGCATGAGAAAGATGAAGATTGATGAGACAATGATACCAGAACTTCATTGAGAGACTAAAGGGCAGAATTCTGGGATGGAGTGAATGAGGAGTACACACTGGAATGAAGAAGTGTTGATTAGGACCAGACTTCGAGAAGGAAAAAAAAGCAGGGTCTAAGAAACAAATTCAAGTCTACATCTGATAGCACTGATTTTTATCCAGTGCCTGGAGTGTAATCCAGCAAGTACCTGCAAAGTCCTACCAGCAGAAGTTTCGTTTTACTGCCTTTTGTTTCACTGCTGAGCTGTGCGTGTCATCTCCACAGATGTTAGCAAACACCTACTGCTGTCGCTCTGTTAGGTCAAGCAGTAGACACTTGTGCAGTGGATCTGAAGGCTTCAGGCTCGCTGTAGGATGGTGACAGAAAGAATTTAAGGGAGTAATTTGCCATTAAAAAATACACATATAAAAATATGTATTAAAAATATAAACAATATATAGAGATGCACACACACATATTGTAGGAAAACATACATTCAAATACTGTTAGAAGAATTCTATTCCATTCTCAAAGTGAAGCAGGAAAAATTTTACACTAATATTTGTCCATTGTATTCAAGATTACAGTTGCTTTTTGTTTCATTTTTAACAGCAGGATGCTGTTCTTTCTGTATGGTCTCTACCATTCACTGTACAAAACATACCTGCTTTGGGAGTGGGTCAGGGCTGTGTAGCTAAAGGGACTGGTGACTTTGACCCCTTTTAACTCTGAGTCATGAGAGTCTGTTCCAACAAGGAAGCATGTGCCTAGTTTAGCCACATATGGATGGATGCAAAATGGATGCAGAAACAAATTTTGCTTCAAGGTTAGGTTATTGCAAGATAATGCTGTCACTGGGACGTGCTGGACAACAGCATTCTCAGCGTCCCTCAAATGGTGAATGCCTGCTGTGCTGTTCTTAACTTCGTGAGAATGTGGATGGTCCTTTCTGTACTGAATAGAAGTACGGGAACCAGTTCTGTAGAAGAATGCACAGAACAGTGGCCAAGGCATGCAGCATGCTGTCCAAGTCAGGGTGTCATCAGTGGTTGTATTGGTAAAGAGAATGACAACTCTGAGCTTCCTGGGGTGGTTAAGAGTGAGACTGTGAGAAGTATGATCAACAAGTGGTGTCTGTTGCTATCTTGCTAATTATATATGAAAAAGCAGTAGACTGCCATTACTGTGTTGTTTTCTTCCTTCCATCATCAACACTCAGTCATCCATGCCTTTTAGACAAACACGCTATTTTCCCCCTGTACCATGTCCTTACTTGAATGTCATTGCATGTAGCTGTGTGTCTACAAGTGATCTCTTTGCAGACCTCAGAAGACATCACAGGCTTAGGCAGTAGTAGACTGCTACAGACTAGATAGTGTACACAAGGCAAAAAGCCAGATTTCCAGCACTTGGAGAGGCTTATGCTTTGTGAAGGCAAAGGAGTGTCAGAGCTGTGGGTGGGTGGAAGACTAGCTGATGTTGCAGCTTCGAGGAGTGTGGTGTGGGTAAGAGAAGGGGAAGCTGTGTTAACTACTTGGGCCTTGCAAGATCAGAAGCAACCCTCCCACAGTTTCTCCAAGGAAACATTTTCCTTGCCCTCCCACAAGTGAACCAGGAGATTGTGTTATTTCACACGTTTGTTGTTCTCATCAGAAATATTCCTGTAGGATTTTGGTTAATGTTTTGCATGAAGCACTCGTGGGGACTGTGTAGTGATGCTCTTCTTGATGGATCATCAACACCCTGTTCCGTGGTTGAACTTCAGTGCTGGCACAGGCAGTCCTGGATGCTGGCTGTGGTGGTGGTCATATGATCAGATGATCATACCGGTGTTGTCCAGTACTGTGTCCATTGCATATCCTACTCCAGAAAGCAAGGAGTAATGCTGGGGGCTCTGACCTGTCCTGGGCTATCCCATGTCTTAACGCCCAGTTCCAGGGCATGCACATGTAAATCAGGTGGTGGGGTCCATGGCGTGCTTTCATTCACATCATCTCTTTCAGTCTGTGCAGTCTGGGGCACATCAGCTTTGCAGCCTCCAGGCTCCCATTGAGTGTTTTTATGAACATGTTATCATTTTCTTAAACTTTTCACCCTTTCATACATGGCAGTATTAAATCAAGTTAGTAGTTACTGCCACCAGATGTCCCTTCTACTTAGGGAGGCCTTGGGCTTTTTACACCAGATGTAAGATGGAGTGGTTCTGCAGGTTGCACCATGCTGAGTTCTCAGCACTTGAGCAGAGTCTTCACCAGCTATGTCCACTAACCAAGTAACAAAGCAAGCAGAAGAGAAGGCAAGCAGACGAGGTAAAAGCAAAATGAAGAATGGAACAGAAGGCTGAGTATTTAATAAGGAGAGGCAATAGGAACTCAGAATTTGAGGGTTTGTTATATAGCAGGTAAATCCTTTGGGAGGGCATCATGTTTTGTGGTTCATGCGTGTTCTAGGTTTGCTTGTGGGCTTTTAGAACATCATGCACCTCACTCACCAGTTAAGTACTTTGTGTACTGTGAATGCAGTCCAGTTTGCACGTGCCAAAACTGCTCTTTTGTTTGACCCAGATGGCATGTGTAATATAGTTAATGAGGAGATTCACTTTTGCAGGCTGGGCTGCTAATGAAGACGTGCCCACCTCTTAGTTTCCTCAGCGCTGGGGCCTGACTCAAGTATTGTACTCTGCTTTGCAGAAGCACACAGTGCTCAGAGCTGCAACCAAAACAAATCAATTGCAGCTGCTTGAATAAGCATACAAAGTAATAAGTAATGCCAAGTTTTCTAAAAAAGCCACTCCTAAGTGCTTCAGGGCACCTAAAAATAGTGGATTCTTCTGATCTTAACCTTTGTTCTTCAAAAATACTTTTTTCCTCTTCATATTGCAGAGATTTTTTTAGAAATATTGTTTTGTGCCTGAGAACTGGTGGGAATTTCTGAAACTTTCATAATTCTTTTCCATAATAGAGCTCCAGCTAGTGCTCCAAAAGTCAAATATTGGGATATTATTAAACCTCAAGGGTAAAAAACAATAGTAAATAATTGCTTCTTAGTGAAGAAATTTGTAATTACTGTCATATGATTCAGTCACGTGAAGCTGAAGTTTTGTGTTAAAATAATATATGCTGATGTAATCTAAACCTACCATAGTGCATATGCACAGTAGAGAAAAGTTTTTTACAGGAAGTCTTCATTTTTGCAGTTCTTAATCTTTTAATACTTTGCTTTTGTCCCTTAATAGTCTTGTGGGGAAGAATATAGCTGAACCTAGACTTGTCTTTTAGAATCATTGTCTTAGCTGGAAGTTGAATCTGAAAAGCAGTACCAAATCTTTTACGAATGAGTTGAAAAGGACTTCTTTGATTCTTATCTTCCCATGCCCCATATGCATATGTATACATGTGTACATATAGAGAACTTAAAATAGTTTTTATACATAGCACCATTACGATGTTCTTAATTGCCAGGTTCTGTGAATACTTTGCATTTCTGATTATGTTCAGTTCCACAGACTGTTGCTTTTAAGTTTTTGCAGATTGGCCACAGCAAGGCTTCAGCTTTTCATAACCTTTAGTCATTCTGTTTACACAAAGTAAAACAACCAGAACAACCTACATAGTTGCTGATTTTTAGCTTGGTACGTAATACTGCTTCATTGTGTTAAGTTGTCATCTATTATTTTTGAAGTCTTATGGAATGTTTGCATGATGTGACCAACAATCATTGCCCTGGGGAAGTAACTCATGATAACAATTTTTCATCTAGTCAGAGACTTAACATTTCACCCTGTTCTCTGTTGGCACTTGTTGGTATATATAATAATTTCCACTAATACTCTGGGTTTAACTTTACTAGTGAAAGTCCTGTGAGTTGTCTGTTATCTGTAGTCTGTAATGTTGATCTCCCTCACACTCTTCCTGCTCTCTCTGTACCAAACAGTTGAAACCTCTAATGGTTTAATGTTCCAATGAGATGTGTGATGGGTTGACCCTGGCTGGATGCCAGGTGCTCACCAAAGCTATCACTGCCCTCCTCAGTGACATTATTTCTAAGACAGAGAAGATCATCTTATTTGATTTTTCCTTCTTTTCTGTTTGTCTGTTATCAGTAAGTCATCTCCTCTCTACTTCATCCTTGAGGTTGACCCATTCAGGTTTTTGGTTCAGTAGATGATAGCAATTTAAGAGCACCAGTTGTGAAGATAGCATTTTCATTCTGATAGTCTGGTAATAGATTTCCAAAAGCAATTTTTCCCGAAATAGTTATGTATTACAGTCATATTGTAAAACTAGTCATTTGGTATAATGAAATGTTTTCAATTCTCTTATTAAATGATTGGAAATAGGAGGTGGGTGCAGCATACAAACCACAATAGCAGGCATGAAATATTAACACCCACAACTTTCTAGAATTCCTTCTGGAATGGATCCTAAAGGAGCACCTCCATCCCCTTGCAGCATGTGTAGGTTTCAGGCAGCACCCACTCTTCGGGGAGTGCGGGTGCCCTTAACCACATGTCTCCTTCAGGATTTGTGGGTGCTTTAGCTTTGCGGGTAACTGTGTTATTCCCCAAAATCTTCTGTTGCCTACAATCTGCTCATCCACAGACCACTGAGAAGGCTCTCCAGCAGGTCACATGCGCCCACCCAAGCTGTGAGTCCCTGCATACTGCATCCCAAACTGCTGGTACTGTTGCCAGCCATGGTATCCATCAGGCTTTGATGGAAGTGGCAATGGTGGCAGGTTTTGATCATTGCCCTGTTCTACTCCAGCATCTTTTATCCCTCTTACAAATTTTCACATTTCTTTTATACTTCTGAGGCTGATTACTTCTTCATGTCAGAAGTTTGTGATTCCCCAGTTGCCATGTAATCCACCTGAGGGTCACTGCCTTTAGCATGATGAGTCTGCTGGGCAAGTGCTTCTCAGACAGATGGAGGTGTTGCGTTTGCACTGTTTATTACTCACATTTCTATCACACCAACTGTTGTTATCCAGATCTTTCTGCAAAGGGTGGGCTGTGCAGGCAAGCACCACCACAGGAATTCTTTAGGATGTTGCATATATGTGTGTGTGTGTGTGTTTATATTCACCTTGTAAGCATGCCTTCATCACAAGCACCTGAGCCCAAAGGACATTACACAGAGTACTAGGTTAAAGCCTCAGGTGTTGTATCTCTATCAATATCCTGATATATATATATAAAAAAAGTGCTGGTATAAGTAACCAAATAGGTTCTAATCTAATGTGAAAGTCTACTTGACACCGTCACAATTAAACGCACAAAGTTTATTCATGAACCTGTTCGAGTAATGCCAGGCATTCTGGAGAAATTCCTGAGCTTCTATATATTTCATAAGAAAAACAAGTCGACAGGAAGGTATTAAAAATACCATAGTGCTGGTGACATTAAAAAAAAAGAAAAATGATGCATTGTCATTTAATTAAATAACTGGGATCACAATACATGTTTGTCATCTCTTCTGCTTCACAAATCATGCAGTTCATTTGTATGTAGCCCACTAGGTGGCATTCATTACTTAGGAGTGTCTGCACGCAGCTCAGTGCCCTGGGATTGCAGTTTTCTCATGATGTTTCTTGTATTTCTAGCTTGATTTCATCTGTAAAAAACTAGTTAGTAGCTGTTATAGAAGTATGAATACTCCAGTATAATAATGGTGTATGATTTCCTTCTCTTTATTTGGTCGTTTGTGGCAAAGTAGCATTTATATATGATAGCATTTAAATGGCAGAGATCTCAAAAGTTGTATTTCTACAGGTATCAGACATTCAGGCAAGAACAGCACTGCTTATGTGGTCACCTCCATCCAGTGATACCAGAGAAGACACTGACAAGAATGACGTACCAGAGGTTTATACTTATGAAGTGATGATTTCAAGTACCGGAAAGGATGGAAAGTACAAAACTGTATATGTGTAAGTGTTCATTATTTTTACTTAATTGCTCTTGCATTGAATTATATTGTTTAAAATATTGTTAAAAAATCTGCCTGCTGTCTGGAGATTTAAATGATTAGCAGTTTTGTGCAACTTCATTTCAAAATACAGCTGTTTTTTTCAGTAGAATTGGTTCAGGTTTATTACCTGAAGTTTTTACCATCAATTAGAATGTAAAGACTTCATTCTTACTTGTTGGAGACATGTTTTAATATCACTTAGCTATATTTCATCCAGCTGCACTGCCAACTATGGGTTCTTGAGTAGTGATATAGACAAATTGTAGTTGTAGTTACTTCCTTCAGCACATACTTCTGCTACCAGTAAGGTTATCCCTCCCTTTTCTGAAAACCCTTTTGGTGAGAGACAATGAATGATACCAAAAAAAAGTAAGTAGATTCACATAGAACAAAACTCTTCAATTGTTTCATTCCTAACACAATGGAGAAATATAACAGTAAAATTTACCATTAAGGGTGTAGGGCTCTCTAGTAATTATAAATCTTTATATCTAGCTAGTTTATCTTAGCCACTTTCCATGGGTTTCTTAGGAGCAGTACATGAGTCCTAAGTTGGATGTCCTTGTCCTAGAAATTAGAGGAAATGAGATGAGCTTTGCTAATATAAGCGGATGTCAGCAGAAGCAGATTACTAGATGTTACTTAGGTGCCTTTTTTGTTTACTAGGCTCTAACAAGTAGGTATGTGCAGTCATGGTCAGTTTTAGATATTTGATTTTGCAAAGCTGAACTGAGCTTCTGTAGACCCCAGCATTTCGATGATTTTTATGTAGTAACATACATGTGTACGCGTGCAGCTGGTCTTACTGCATAAAGAGGAAAATAATTAGTCTTTAAAAAACAAGCAACAACAATAAAAAAGCACCCCAAAACCACCAGGGCAAACAGGAATCAAACACAAGAAGCCCCTAAAATGCAAAGATAAATGCATTTACATTTTACTAGCAAAAGAGACCAACTGTTAGCAAATACATTTCTTAAAAGGAGTGTTAGGTGAATAAGATAATAAGTGTCTTCTTGTAAATGTATGGGATTTTGAAATGGTTTCTTAAACAAAGTCATATCTCTTTTCAGTGGAGAAGAGAATAAAGTTACTGTAAATGATCTCAGGCCAGCAACTGATTACCATGCAAAGTGAGTATCTCCTTTTCTATTCATTAAATTCAGTGGAAATGTTTTAGAAGTTTCAATGTATTTGTGTGTTTGCATAAACCTTTAGAGATTGTCTTTACCACTTCTAACCTTCCTTTGAGTCACAAATCAACATTTTTGGCTTAGTTGACCTGTCACTCCATTTTGGAAAACATAAGAGAAGATTGTTGTGCCTCTACCCAACATCCATCCTCTTCGTGCCAGCAGTGACCTTTTTCTGTTCTTTGAGTCAGGCACAGATGTTGCTTGATTTCTCTCAATTTTCCACAAGCAGCAGAGGAAAGTACCTTGCACAGAAAGGTGCTCGCTGCTGGCCAACTGAAGGTCACCTTATGCTGCTTTTGCTTTGCTGCAGTAGAACAGTGAATCTGACGCCATATGCTTTGCAAAACATTCCCGTAGCTCTGTGTAATTCTACCCTTCTAGCAGAATTTGCTGGAGAAATAGTGTAGAATTGGAAAGATGCAGTTAGGTGTTCTTTTTCCCCTCCCTTTTTAAATATTGGAGGGTCATCTGGAGCTGAAAGGTCAAAGAAAGCAATCCCCTGTGATGAGCAGGGTGGGCAGACTGGTAAGAACGGATGAGGAGAAGACTGAGGTATTAAACAACTTCTTTGCCTCAGTCTTCACTGACAACCTCTCTTCCCACACCCCTTGAGTGGATGCACTGCAAGGCAGGAACTGATGGAGCAAAGTCTCTACCACTGTGGGCAATCACCTGATTCCCAGCTGGGGAACCTGAACATACACAAATCTATGGGACCTGACAAGATGCATCGCAGAGTCGTGAGGGAATTGGCTGATATAGTTGCCAAGCCACTCTCCATGATACTTGAAAAGTCACAGCAGTCAGGTGAAAATCAGTGAAGACCAGAAAGACTAAACTATGAAGGTAATGGACAAATCACATATTTGCAACTGCATGCAAGCACAAACAACTTTGTGTTCAGCATTAGTCACTGTTCAAATGTCTCTCCCCGTTTATGAAATCTAAAAAGCCAAATTTCCTGTGACTTGCTATTCATGCAACAAAAACATATAAAGACTTTTGCATCTTCATAAGCAGGCAACTTGAGTCCTATACCAGTGATCAGAGGAAAGGTGGTTTTTTTTGTTTTGCTTTGTTTTTTTACTTTCAAAGGAACAGATGACTCTGGAGAAAGTAATGTGCCAGTTCACTCAAGGAAAAGAGACAAGGCATAGCTACACAGCAGGGGGAATCCAGAAGATCATCTGGTGTTTTCTTTCGGAGACAAGCTGTTAGAAAAACAAACCATTTCTCTTTGAGGCAGAAGCAGGAATTCCCTCTTCTGCAGTACATGGAGAATTAATGCATAGCCTTCTAAAGGAAAGGACAGGGTGAACGGACTCAGCAAAGCCTTGAAAGGAGTGCAGGAGATACTCTGAAAATATATCAGCATTTACATTGTGCTCATCTGACAAAAGCACTTGCAGGAAAAGAATTATTCATAATACCAGTTAATATGTCTACAACAGATAATGAGCCCTCAAGATGTTGCTGTTATTTTCCAACCAAAGTACAGCACATAACAGACAAATTTCAAATGTGAGACTAATGATGCTGGTTGGTAATGATGTACATCTATAGTAAAGGACTCTTTTCTTTCTCATTACTTCTATCAACCAAGATGCTTCCACCAGTTATTTATTTATAGCATTGATATTTCAATAATAAGGTAGCAAGGCAGTAACTTAATTCTGAACACTCAGTTTTCTTTGGAAACTGTGTATAAAGGTATTGAAGCAATATGTTATTGGCTCTTTTCCTTTTTTAGAGTCCAAGTAGAAAGCAACTGTGTAAAGGGGAGCCCTTCAGAGGCAGAGAGTTTTACCACAGCAAGTTGTGAGCCTGATACTCCAAATCTGCCCAGGATAACTAATCGGACCAAAAATTCTCTTACTCTGCAGTGGAAGGTAAGAATTGCTTAACAGCTTTTACAATAAATATTTTAAACTCTTCGGAATTGTTTCAGATTTGTCAATAAAATGCCAGTTCATTGAAATGGAAAACTTTTGTCGAACATCTAGTTTCTGTCACATTTTCATGACCGGAAATAGATGTACTGGGTTAAATGTGGACTTCAGTAAAAAGAGAAGGGTTCCCAGAAAAGTGAGGAGCCGTTTCAGGTAAAAGTTACTGAGTGCCAGTCCCCTACTGTAGTGTGGAACTGATTCCTTTCTCTGTCACTGAACATAGGCTTGTTTGTGCAAAGCAGAAGTGGTCTGGAAGGCTGAGATTTGGGCAGACCTTGCAATCTAGCAGCTCGGAAAAGTACTGGAACATATTACACCACTGCCAGAATATTTTATCAAGGTCTAAATTAAAAAAACACAATCCCATAAACATGATATAAGCATTCATTGGATAGAGACTGAACTAGGACTATCTTGGCAAGTGAAAGGGGAACATCTTTCGCACTCTGGTGGTCTTGTCATGATTTGACCCATACATGCATTTTTCCTTAAGTGGTCTTGTATCCAATTAGAGCCCTAATTTTCTTCTTTTCTTCTTGCAGGCATCTTGTGATAATGGCTCTAAAATCCACAGTTACCTTTTAGAATGGGATGAAGTAAGCAAGTTACTCTATTTTATTTTAATCTTGTACGATTTTTTTAAGAAGTTGTATGTGAACATAAAGCTGTGTGAAAATTATGGCTTCTGTCTAGAGGCACGTGACAGATATGTAGTTCCTGAAGCAATTATCAAAATACAGTTACTGCCAGTTTTTTTTCCTTAGGGAATATAATGTAATAGTATCTTAATTACATAGTTCTGCCACTCTGGATAGTGTTTTTTTTTACTCATAGTCCAGTACTTCTTTCAAGAGCTGACACTGAAGGATAATTTTCCTGTTAGAGTCTTTCTTTTGCACAAATGGGGTGGATCTACTATGCCCCCACAAGCATCTTAAGTCCCTACCTGGACAGCTATCCTGAGATGGCAGAGCTGCAGAAGCTTCATGGCCTTTTCCTTCCAATGCTGTGGAGCTGGAAAATGGAAAGGAAGGAAGAAAGCCTTCAATATACCTCCAAAGTTTTGTAAACTACCTCTGTGGGAGATTCTTGAGTTATGTTTCATTCATAGAATGAGTTTGCTTCACGTTTGTGTGTTACTTTAATTGATGGACACATACGTAACAGGGTGAATAATGTGATTAACTTATTCTTTTTTAGGGAAAAGGAAACGGAGAGTTTTGCCAGTGTTATTATGGCCAACAGAAGCAGTATAGAATTACTAAACTATCACCAGCAATGGGGTACACCTTTAGGCTAGCAGCCAAAAATGACGTGGGAATGAGGTAAATACTACTGTTACATACATAAATACAGAATGCATATGCATGCGTGTGCTTGTTTAGGAAGAATGTATGATGGTATTTAAAGAAAAAAGTCTTCTGTCCAACTGGAATGAAATGGAATATAGAATATAGAATAATTCAGTTGGACAGGACCTACAGTGATCATGTAGTCCAGCTGCATAGTTAATTCACAGTATGATTGGATTGTTTGGTTTGCAGATTACCTGTGACCCTGCTTGAGCAGGGGAGGTTGGACAAGATGACCTCCAGAGATCCCTTCCAACCTCAGCTATTCTGTGATTCACAGCATAATGTATTTTGCCCAGCCATACTTTGGCTACATACCACAATCACAATGTATATGCATACTTAATATGTTAAGTGCTGTACAGCTTCTTCTGCCAGACTTAGCCTGATTTTGTGAACAGCCTGCTCAGACATTTGTACACAATGCCCCTACAATGGGAGCTTGAGCATGGCACAGACAACATGGCTGCTCTCATTTGAAATCAGCTCAGGCTGTGCTGGTTTTTAGCTTCTGTCTTTGTAGATCTATGTTGACCACTGCAGTTGCTACCTTGGATGTGTTTCCTGCTGCATGTATTTGTAATAGAATTTTTGGCTAAGCTCTGCATTGTAGAGACACACACATTCAGTGCAATCGTGTCTTTTGTGTCTGATGTAGTAAGCACTTGTTCTAAAGTTCTGGGGATGATGCTAAAAGACAAGCACCTCGGCCAAAGTGAGTTAATTGAATAGTTAAAATGCTGCAGTGCTTGTGCTGCTGCTGTGCTGATCCTGGTGTACCTTATACTATGCTCTCTGCTACTCTTGTTTCCAGGGAAGTGTGACATGGTGCTAGATCTCATGTTAGTTCCTGATGCTGGTGTAGCAATTTTCCAGGGCTTATCATACTTCCTTAAATTCATAGTTGTAGTGATGCCAGTATAAATAGGCGTCAGTAACTCTGCTAGAGGAGGAAGTCTATCAGAACCCCTGCTGCCACCTGTAGGTGTGTATCTGTATTGTGCTTCTCGCCATGTTCTGTTACTGGGATATGTACCTTTAGATAAGGTTTCAGTCTCCTGTTACCCTGGGCAATCGACAGAATATGACATAACCATATCACTGAATTCTTTTGATGTTCTAGAGCTTATTACGAATTCTTAGAATATGGAGTTCTTACTTTTCATTGCTACTTTTCAAAAGTTGCAGAGTTAAAGACTTTGTTTTGAATTTTTGAATGAATGACATCTGACTTCAGCAGAGAATACTGGGTAACACTTGGGCTATGTGGCATAAAAACAGGCCCTCTCGAGCTGTCAGCCTAAAATTGTGATTTCCATTTGTTTTTTTAATTCAGTGTTTGCAATATTATGAGCATTGTGCTGCAGCTCACCAGAGTGGTGTTTTTATAGCATGAAATAGAGGGGGCGTGTTGTGTGTCCTTCAGCTGGCACAAGTTGATGCTTGAGAGAGTAACGCCTGCTCGGACAGTGTTAAAGGACAGCCAGACCTGGGATTATAATTCGTGCTGGGCATAAGAAATCCTTTGCAGGCTATAAAGCATGTGAAAACCACAACTGGTGCAGATCTGAGACATGTGCTTGGAGGCTTTGGGAAGCACTCCGGGAATGTGTTGCGTATAGTTCTGGTTCCCATGTGTTCTTAGACACCGGCTTTGGACACTGTAGTCAGAGGGCACTGTGGTGGGCTAGAATGACTTTTGGTGTGCTCTAACACAGTGTTTATTATGTTACTGCCTTCTGGATGATGTTTCTAGAACGAATTATTCTCTGAGTTGCCCCTGGACTTTGTCTTAATGAGATTTAGTTGGAACTGTAGGGTACAGGGCTCAGGCTGTCTTCCTGTTCTGCTGTTACGTCTGAATGCAAATGTACCCTCTAGGAATACCTGCACATATTACAGATTCCTGCAGCATAAGCTGGTAGAAGGTACTGACCAGTTAAGTACCCTTCTTAAAATAATCATACCAAATAGATTTTTAAATCAGTATTTCATGACCTTGTAAAGTTGACATTTATTGTCTTTATGGTATTATTTGATTAAGAAGTCTCTTGAGGTAATATTTATTAGGGTAGAGTGCCTGATTCCTTGTCAAGAATGTTGAGAACTTTAGGCATATGGAGACAGAATTTTGTCTAAATGATTTTGCCAGCAGGGACAGGTATTTTATCTTTGAGTTACTCATCTTTTTAAATTTGATTCTAACCACACTTGAAAGAGTGGCTAAAGAAAACGGGAAAAAAATCTGTTTAAAAAATATATAGCACTGTTGTACTCCTAAGTGAATTGTCTTTCAAATGTGGGTATTACTGGAATACTTATATGATTTCAGTGTGTTTTGGAGTGGGTCAATCAAGTAAAGACATTAAATCTTTTAAAGGTGTGGGGTTTTTTACCTTATGTCTGCTGGTAAGGTGACTCCCTTCAGTAGTTTTTTGTGATTAAAGGTAGGGTTAGTATTTGTTTAGCCTCTCTTCATGCTTTCTCTAGCCTACCTTAGATAATGCTGGAAAATTTTTTTAGTAGGTATCACATCAGCTTCATTTCAGAATTTGCTTGCTTGTGACTTTTTGCAAGGAAAAAATTACTATTCCCCCCAAATTTAAGAAGTTTTCTCTTATTTTGCACTTTTTTGTTTCTTGCTTCACAGTGTTTTTCAGTGTCTGCATATCCGCACAGACCGTATGTCTGCTTTGGGTGCTTTCAACACTGAGTTGTCTGTAATATTTCTTTTTAATTTTTTTTTTAATGCCAAAAATACTTTAGAGCAGACCAAAATTTACAGTTTGTGCAGTATTATAATATAGGCTGGGTAAGAGAGAAAGTGAAGTTGAGGTATCTTTGTATTGAGATTTTTCAGGAAGGTCAGGTTCTGACACACAAGATACTTACCTGTTACTGTTGTTTAAGCCATGCAGAGAATTTTGTTTTCAGGGCTTTCTGATGCTCACTTAGGTAATGTATCACTTTTAGATTAAAATCACATCTGTGACATTAGTTTCACATGCTTAAAAAATCCTAGACTAGCTCTTCAGCCTGTAGACGTTACTTCAGATCTGATGCAGAAGCAGCAAATGCCAGCTGAGAACAGGTGGGGTTTTCTTAGTCTAACCAGATAGGTGTCAGACCATCTGTGCAAGCATAGTGCCTGTTTACTGACTTTAGGGTCCCTCTGGTTTACAGTAGGTCTTTTCATGTAACTTATTTGTATTTTCACTTCAAGGTATAGCTAAGCATCATCAAATAAGGTTAGGAGATTCACTGGCGCACACTCTATTTGTTCTGCAATAAGACTTCCATACTGGCAACTCTTAAAGTAACCTAACACTGAATGAGGCTATTATTCTATTATTTTCTGAAACACTAGAGAAACTGGGACTTCACAGTATATTTGAAGCACATAATTGCTGTCTGGAAGCAAAATTTTTTTTTAAGTCTTCCCATATATGCTTTTGTGTCTTCAGGGTTTCATTTTGAATAGGAAGAACACTGGTATTACTACGTTATTGCATATAGACCTCAACTGTTTTAGAATAATGACTTAATATGAAATAGCAAAACATTTTGGTTAGTAAAACATTGTAATTATATCCTGCAAAGTTATCTTTCAATTATGAACATGTTAACCTTGTTCAGATGTTTTCTTACTGACGGACTCATGGGCAAGTTAAGCCATCTGCATGTACCAGCTTGCAACTCCCAGTTGTGCACATGTGCAAGAAACTGTCATTGCTGTACTTAGTAAGAATTATGTTTTTCTAGATATTAATTACTGTGTCTAGATAGTTTACATACTGTCTGTTTTAAACAGTGGTTTTAGTGAAGAAGTCCTGTATCATACCTCAGGCACTGCCCCAACCACACCAGCAAGTCCTTTGCTGATTAATGCTGGAGTTACTTGGCTATCCCTACAGTGGACAAAACCCTCAGGAACACCGTCAGATGAAGGAATCTCATATATATTAGAGATGGAGGATGAGAACTCAGTAAGTTTAGACTACTTATTCTCAATAAGAAAAGACTATAATGTGTGTGTTTGGTACATTATTGTGTGAAGTGTAACAGTGATTACTTTTGCTAGACTATTCTACAAGGATCTGTATTTTCTTAAATTAAGCTAATGACTTGTAATTGCTGTGACCCAGCCACACAGCTTTCTTCTTTCTATTAATTAATTTCTCCCTTTTCAAAAAAACCCCTTTGTGTTTACACAATGAAGTTGCCTTTTTTATTTTGTCAAAGGAGCATAACAATGACAGTCTGAAACAGTAATTTATTTGTATGAAGTACGTTGCATGGTCTAGCCTGAAAATACAATGTTTCAAGTAATCCTTTTTAATTCTGCAGGGATATGGTTTCAAGCCAAAATATGATGGTGACGATCTTACCTACACAGTGAAGAATTTGAGGCGTAGTACAAAATACAAATTTAGGGTAAGAGTTTTTTATATATTTGGTTTATGGTTGGTTGTTTTGGGTTTTTTCACCAGAGTAGCTTGATGTTAACTCAGAAGTGGGGAGGGCATTTTCTAAGGAAAATCAAATTTGATGCCAGTTTCTTACAGTTTCAGTCTCTTAAGACTAGTGGTTGAACACCTGATTCATTAATCATCTCTGCAGAAGGAATGAGAACCTTAGCAAAGGCATAACACAGTTATCTTGAAATTCCAGGCCACAAGTCAATGTTCTTTACAGTTGGATTTTTTAATATGGCTTCTACGTGTGTAATATTACTTGGTGTAGCTTTGATAGACTCTAAACACATCTGAAAGTGTTCGGGTAAGGAGCAACTTCAGTCAAAAAAACCCCATTTATTGGTGCTAGCATAGGACTGAGCCCAAGTTAGTAAATCATTCATATTACCATGGTGCTGAGCCCATTCTAAAAAGCTTTGATGGCTGAACTTGTTAGCTCAGGGTAAACTCTGGCTTAACAATGTCTTAACAGTGAACTTTTGGGTGTGGTTAAAAGCAAAAAAAGAAACATACCAGCTATGGAAAGGCAGCCAGATAGCCATCAAGGGCTGTAAGGACCTTAGGACATGCAGAGATGCAGTCAGGAAGGCTGAGGATCAGCTAGAACTAAATTGTCCAAAGATGTCAAGAACAAGAACGGGTTCTTCAGATACATGAGCAGTAAGCAGAAGCACAGGGAAGATATACATAGGCCTGTTACTAAGCAGGGTAGGGAAGCAAGTTAAAAATGCCATGAGAGGTTCTTGATACTTTCTTTGCCTCTGTCTTTCCCAGCATAGCTGGACACGAGATCATAGGATCAGGTAGCCATAACAAAGCGTGTGTTGATCCACTGGTGGTAGAGGAAGGTCTGGGCTGTGGCCTTTTGCAAGGGCTCAACCCACATCAATCTATGGGCTAAGACAGCATCCGCTCCAGGATGTTGAGACGTGGCTGACATTGTTGCAAGGCCACTATCATCAAAAGGCCATGGATATCAGGGGATATCCCTGATGACTGGAAGAAGGTAAAGGTTATACCCATCTACAAGAAGGGCCCAAAGGAGCACTCATGAAGCTACAGGTCTATTCTTACTTCAGTCCCTGGGAAAGTAATGGAAGCATTCTCCTAGAAACTATTACAGATCAAATAAAGCAGGTGATTGGGAAAAGCCTACACCAAAGGCAAAACATGCCTGACTAGCCCAATAACCTTGTACCTCAAAGTAACACTTCCATTTGGTCTGGGGGAGCAGTGAATGTTGTTCACCTGGACTTCAGCAAAGCTTTGAACACTGTTTCCCACAGCTTTCTGGACAAATTGGCAAGATACAGATTAGATATGTGATCTGTGAGATGACTAGAAAACTGGCCAACAGGCCACACTCGGAGGGTGGTGATCAGTGGTTTTTACTCAGCCTGTCAGAAGTAGCATCCCCTAGGGATCAATATGGGGCCCCATGCTGTTCATCTTCACAAATGATCTAGATGATGGAATTAAAAGCATCCTCACCAAGTTTCCTGGTTACACCAAGCTAAGTAGTGAGATGAGCACATCAGAAGGGAAATCCATCTTACAGAGAAGTTGGTGCTAGACCATTCTTCTAACCTGTCCAGGCTAGAAGAGTGGGCTAGCAAGAACAGTATGAAAGTTAACAGGCAAGTGCAAAGTACTGCACCTGGGTCAGAATAACCACAGCCCAGTATAGGCTCGGAACAGTCTTGCTGAAAGTGACCTGGCAGTCCTGGTGGACAAACTGATTGTGAGCCGTGCAACACTGCAGCACCAAAGGCAAATTGAATCCTGGGCTACATCTGCAGGGGCATTACTAGCAGAGATAAGAGACGTGATCATCCCACTTCATTCATCTCTCGTCAGGCTGCAGCCAGAGTACTGTGTTCAGTTCTGGTTCCCACAGTTCAAGACAGATGCAGACAGACTGGAGAAGGGTCCAGAGGAGGGCCACAAAGATGATCAAAGGGCTGGAGAACCTGCCCTATAAGGAAAGACTAAAGGAATTAGATCTTTTCTCCCTGGAGAAGAGAAGGGTCGGGGGAGCCTCCTCACAGTTTTCCAGTACTTAAAGGATGGCTACAAAGAGGAGGGAGGCTCTCTTCTTCACAAGGAGCCACATGGAGAGGACAAGGGTAATAGGTGCAAGTTGGCACTGGGTGAAGTTTCATCTTGATGTAAGAAATAAAATTTTCACAGTGAAAAAACCAGTTACTGGAGCAACTTCCCCAGGGAGATGGTGGACCCATCACTGGGTGCTTTCAAGATACAGCTGGACAGTGTGCTAGATAATCTCACCTAGGCTTGCTTTTCCCTGAAAGATTGGACCAGATGATCTTTCAGGTCCCTTCTAACCTGGGCAGTCCTATGTTGTAAGGCACTCTCAAGCAGTTGCTTGGTTTTTGGAGCAAAGCTTAGGGCATGTCCCACAGTATGAAGTAGAGTCAGAATAATCTCATCTCCGTCTTCAAGGGAAAAAACATTGATAGTTGTTGTCTTGCTTACACCTAAAGTACCATTTCCTAAGGAAAAATTGGGAACTGCTGAGGAACAGCATCTTTGCAATATGAAAGGTAGCAGTTTAAGGGCTGGTTGATTTGTTTTGAGGTGACAGTGAAACATTAAGTACTCCTTTTCAAATGAAAGCAGGTATTTTGCACTGTTGAAGATGATTAGCTTCTTAACTAGAAAGGGTTATGATGGGGATTAATCTTGCAGTACTTCTTGGTTTGTTTTTTTTTTTTTTTACATAGCTTAATATTTAAATAATTTAAAATATGCAGTGTATTCCAAGGACTGCACCAAGCTAAGACTGTTATGGTCACACATGATCTAAAAAACAGCTAATAACCTTGAAACTAGCTTTTGCAGGACTTGATCTTAGTCTTCCTTTGAAAGCAATTCTATATATTAATCATACCCATTACTAGTAAATACATAGTTAACTTACACATCCTAATTTTGTCATTAAAATAAAAAACCTCAATGATTATACCCTATTTTTCTTAACAAAACAATAAATGGAATTCTCTGTTTGCTCGTTCACAGGGCATAAAGAAGAAACAAATGTTGTGTTAATCAGGTCTTTAATTTTTATTATACAGGGGAAAGACTTAATTAGTAGTAATATTCCTTAAGGCTTTTGGAAGAATCTTTAGAACCATTGGAAGCCTTATTGCCATATATAAATACTAACTGTGCTTATTCATTTGTAAGGGTGCAAAGACAATCAGATGATTGTTAATCTTGTAAACTGTGTCAGGAGGTTTAATGTCTGAGAGTCTTGTTAGCTCGTATGTGCTTTTCTCAATCTGTGCTAACATTACTGCTGTCATTTCAATTCTGCTCATTTTTAGAACAACTATAAAAGCCAGAAAACCTTTTTTTAGGTTGTTCAGCTTTGAACAAATGGGAATACAGAGTAAACTAACTGCAGACACAACTAGAAAGTAAAGAATAGCAATTCGTTTTCCTAGAATCACAGAAAAGTCCAGGTTGGAAGGGATTTTTGGGGATCACCTGTGTTAAACTTGTGTGGAAAGCAGCATCTCGGGTTAGGCAGTTCAACCCTGTTCTAGCCCTGTTGATCTGAGACCTGAGTATTTCCAGCGAGGGAGATTCAACCTCTTCTCTGGGCAGCCTGTTCTCATGGTGATTAATTTATTTTCTTATATCTGGCTAGAATTTTCCCCAACACATTTCATGTCTACAATTTCTTGTCCTGTCATCACAGATCCTTGTGAAGACAGTATCTTCATCTCTTCTATACCTATCTTTTAGGTATTAGAAGGCTGTGATTATATCCCCCTTAATGAAACTTCTTTTTTCTTAGACAGAATAAACCTTCAGCCTATTTTCTGTATCAGGTTCTCCAACCCTCTAATCATCATGCTGGCCCTCTTCTGAACTCTCTCCTGTTTCCCGGTGTGTCTCTGGAACCAGGAGGACCAAAACTGCACACAGTATTCCAGGCATGGTTTAAAAAGAGCTGAGTTAAATGGCATAATCACATCCCTCGTTCTGGAGCTAAATTCTTCCTGATGCAGCCCACAGAACAATTTGCCTTTGCTACTGCCAGGATGCTTTGCTGATTCATTAGGCTTGCTCTCTACCAGAATCCCAAGGTCCTTCTCAGCAGAGCTGAAAAAAGAAAAGCTGACTAACTAGTCATATCCCAGACTGTGCTGCTGCTTGGATTATTCCATCCCAGGTGCAAGACTTTGTCTTCGTCAAAGCTCATACGGTTCTTGTTGATGCAGTCTTCCAGATTGTCAAAGTCTGTATGGTGGCTCTTCCTTCCAGCATATCTCTCTCTGCTCCTGCTTTGGTCCATATGCAAAACAGCAGAGGGTATATTCACATCACAGTCACATCCAGGTGATCCTGCCATTCAGCTCACTTCTAAATATCTGACATTGAATTGACTGCTGAGGAAATCCAATCATGAGCAACTGCTAATTTGCCTTCAAACCATTAACCACCACCCTTTGAGCCTGGCGTTCTATCAGGTTTTCTGCACCCATCTTGTGGTCCATCTGTTCTGTCTATATCTTACCAGCCTGTCTACATGGATGTTGTGGGAGACCACGTCAAACTAAAATCAGGGTAGATGATGTCCACAGCTCTCCCCTCATCTATTGAGCGAGTTGTTCCGTCTTAGAAGGCACTCAGGTTGGTCAAACATGATTTACCCTTGATAAATCTAATTACCTCCTTGTACTTCATGTGCTTGTAAATAACTTCCATATTTGCCATAGTTTTCCCTGGGACTGAAGAGTTTATACCACCTTTGCTGTTAATACAACTTACCCATACAAACACTCTTTTATCTCTGAATATATTTCCTTAAAAGAAGGTACTGTAGTAGCATGAGAGCTCTACTTAATTCATCCCAATTATACAGGTTTCTTTAGCAGTTGGTAAAGCATCATTTTTTGCTCTTTATTTACTTACATTAAAATATTTTTACCTCAGTGGGAAGAAATTGAAATTAAACTTTTAATACTTCCAGGTTCCTTCAGTTGAAGTTTAAAAATGGCCTCTTTGCAGTATGTCTTTTTCATCATCTTTTGTTTCCATGCTTTAATAAAGGCTTTTTTCTCATGCATCTAGTTCATTATCAATGAATGGTGCAACTCTGTAAGGAGGAATTGTTCTTAGACCTATTTAATTTCTGAGTATCTTGGATGGTTTTAAAAAAACAAGTTTTCAGATCCTTGAGTTGAAATAAAGTGGCTTGTGCTATATTGAGCACGTATACATTCCGTTAATGTCACTGAGACTTGCATGTCCTCATCACCTTTTACAGTCAGGCAACTCTTAAGCATCCTAAGTAGAAGCTGAACTTTATGCACCCACATTTGAAATTTGGGAGATATGGAAGGTTATTCTCTTACTGTGGTGGTTGTTATTACTACTATTATTATTATGCTTCACAATTACTAGGGCTTTGGGGGCTTTTTTAAGGATTTTTTTTGCTTGCAGTTTGCAGGAATTTTTAATCTCAGTGTAGTGACAGTTTAATGGTGAGACTGATGAAAATGTAAAACAAAGGTATATAATAGCTTTAGTTCTTGTAATAATTTGTTATGTAGCTGTCTGTCTAAGCATACATATACATTAGTTTGACCTTACCATTAACAGTGAACAGCATACCACTAGCCAGTGCATTTGTTCTGTTATAATATTTTTTAATGTATTTGCAGGTCATTGCCTATAACTCAGAAGGGAAAAGCAGTCCAAGTGAGACAGTGGAGTACATTACGTGTGCAGACAAGCCTGGGGTACCTTCAAAACCCTCAGTGAAAGGAAAAATTCATGCACAGAGTTTTAAAATAATCTGGGGTAAGATTGCTGTCCACCTCTGTTTACAGTATGTCCTCTGTATTTTATATATAATAATATAATATATATCTACACATCCATATATATGCACACATATATGTGTGTGTGTATATACACACATACAATTTTTATATATATATTTTTTTAGTATGTATTTGCATATAGAAGTCCAAGTTTTACTTCAGTAACATTCCAGTTAACTGAACCATTATGATTTGTTTTCCTGAAACTAAGAGGAAAATACTGATTCAAAATACTTAGGGTAGAAGCATAATAGGGTGATTATGTGGGAAGAATAATATACAAATTATAACAGGCACTGTTATTGCAAGGGACTACAGCAATTAAAAAAACAGTAGTGTTAATTTGTGTACTACAAAGTTGTGTTTCTCTGGCACAAAAAGTAGATGCCATGACAGTGTGGGTTTGTATCAAACGAAAAGATCAAGTTCAACCTGTCTCTTCAGCATTTGGTTTTGATACAAAAATATTTTTATTCACTAAGATTCTTAAGAAACTTTTCTATAAGCTCAGGTTTTTTTAGCCTTATGCTGTGGAATAGAAGGTGAAACAGTACTGTGTGATGCAGAAAATCAAACAGTTAAAGGTATTATTTATAGTCAGAGGTAAACTTCTTATCTTAATTTGATAACTAATGTGGTCATTCTATTTTTTATTTGGAGTAATTTGTTACCTTCCAACCAAGAAAGTGCTATATGCTATATAATAAGTCTCATTTTATTTAACGTGTGATATGATAGTAACCCTTGCCTAAGAGGCAACACCATTTCATCCAACACATACATAATGTAATGTTAAGGCAGCAGTACCTTTCTGTGTTGAAGTATCATGCTGTCTTTATGTTTGTCCAAAGTATTCTTTTCCCACATTATTCTAATATTGCTGGTCTCTAAGTCAGCTCTCAGAAAAGAGTTGCAGGATTATATGTCTGTAGGTTCACATGTTGTACACGAATATTATAGCAGGGAGGATAGTGCACTCAATTTCTAGTGATGTATTAAAAATTCCAGAGATGAGGTTTCAGCAACTCCTGACTTCTGTTCCCTCCCAGACTATTTAGGTTTTTTAAATCCTGCCCTTAGATCATTTTGAAATATTCTTATATGCAAATCAGTGTGATAATCTTTTCGTGTCTGCAGTCCAAATTACAGGACCGTTAGGAGCTATGTCTCTGAAACCACAAACAGGCAGCCTTCGGAGCATGTCAGACTAACAGACACATTTGCTGTAGCATCTCCAGGGTGTCTGATTCACTTGTCACTCTTCATCTGTAGAGTATATGGTAGGGTTGTGAGCTGGCAGCTTCACATAGTGGAGAATTTGAGTGATATGTGGCTATCCTGACCTAGGATGCTGTCTATCTAAATAAGTACCCATCTCCAGTCAGCTATTGATTTTGTCTTTTGTAAATTCTCTCCAAAAGCTACAAAACCATTGAATTTACCTCATTTGTAATATTACTGGTTTTTTATAGATCCACCAAAAGACAATGGAGGAGCAGCAATAAATACATATGTTGTAGAGATGTCTGAAGGCTTAAATGGTAAGTATTAGGAGCATATGTTGGCATTCAGCTGTGGGGTTTTTCCCTGTATATGTGCGCCTGTGGGAGGAGTAAAATGTGTATTATGACAGGGAGAGGTATTGCAAGAGACTGCCATTAAAAAAATCAGGGGTGTTGATGCTTGTCTACAGGAGGTTCTTTTTTTTCTGCCTTAGAGTATGCCTCAAAACTGTGTCAAAAGAGGTGCTCTGTGGTTTACTTATTAATGAGGTGTATTTTGTTTTGGAAATGAAATGACACATTTCAGACATTTTAGGGTGCGAAACAGTTGGATGTGTGATAGATGAAAGAAAAACTAGTGCTCCATTTATCACTATTAAAGGAGAACAGTAATGCCGTTGAAATAACTTTCTGCTATTTGCCTTTCTGTTCTTTCATACAGAAAGGAAATTAACTATTTCTAAACTGGGCATAAAGCTATTCAGCTAAATTATTTTAAAATCTAGACCTCTTAAGTAACTTCATAAATTCAGAAACAGTCACACTGGGAATTAAGACAGCACACTGTGGTAATGGTAGCCCTGTCAAGGGGTCTCAGGTGTGGTTCTTTTGATACTTAGTCTGTTGCTTTCCTTACTCCATCATGTGTCCACATTAAGTCAGTTTGGAATGATCTTTCATGTAGATTTAGCAAGCTGTGCATTATGTTTCATACTCAGTCTTCTAAATTCTGTGATGTACTGAGTTGATTGAGATTTAATTAAAAGTCCCCACATTCCCTGCTTGATCTCTTCGAGAGAGAGAGAGAGAGAATGCTAAAGAGTTTCTGATTTAAGAATCTGCCTGAATAGCAAGAATAAAATCAGTATTTCAGATGGTGCTGAGCCATTCAGGGAATGCAGGAACAAGCTTTATCAACTGTAAACTGTAGTAACAGTCTGCAAAATTAATGCTGTCATTAGAAGTTTCTTTTCCATGAAAAACTTTGCATTTGTAGCTTTCCTGTTTATTTGGTTATTATGTTTGAATGTGCTTTCTAGTCCAGTAGTAACTACTTCATTAGAAGTAAGTTCTCTCCTAGTTGATGTGAATAAGGAAGATATTTCAGCAGATCTACAAAAATTTACCTGGGAAACTATGAAATGATTGGATCTTTTTCCAGGAAACTCAAAGCAAGCCTTAATTTTTTTTATAAACATCAGGCACATATTTACTTAGTGAAGCTAGGATCCCTACTGTGGCTGGTACTGAAGTGTGGCAAATTACACCTTGGTTCATTGCACACTTGTTCCTAACCTTTCAGGAAACAAGTGGGACACAATATACAGTGGAGCTGCTAGGGAGCATGTGTGTGACCGACTAAATCCTGGCTGTTCCTATCGGTTACGTGTATATTGCGTTGGGGAAGGAGGACAAAGCACGGTAATATGAGCTAATATTTTTATTTAATAAAACTCTTCACTCTTAAAATCTGGTCCAGTAGTTAATCAGCAAATATTGTACAGAAGTGCCTAACAAAATAGCCATAATTAGTACCTGAAGAAATTTCCAGTATCGATGCACAGTATTTCAAGTTTCTGCCCATTTCTTAAAGAAATACATGTGAATATTCTTTTCTGATATTGTGTTTTGTTTAAAATTCTTTTTTTATTTACAGAAGTAGATATTATGTCTTTTCCTGTGTGATGCGTTGGTAGAACATCAGTCCTTAAGGCCTAACCCAATACAGCAGTGCAAATTTAATGTTTTCTATGTGATGGGTGGAGTACTCTGCCTGAGCAGCCAAGTCAGCCCAGCAGGCAAGGGAGGACAGTGTTTCCCCTGGCGTTACAGGGTTGTGCTCCATAGTCTCTTCTCATGCTGTCTCAGTCACAATCAAAATGTTTACATAGCCCCACTTGTCAGTATTCCCAACCAGTTTGGTGTGCCTCACTATGCTCCTTCATATATACACATTACATACACACTTGCACTGTCCCTTCTGTGGTGTAGTTCAGCCTCCAGTGTCACAATGTCATGCAGTTTTCTTCTCCCTTCTTCCCAACAGCAAGTGTAACAAAGCCAGCCCTGGCTCTCTACAGACTTGCAGCAGGGCTTCACTGTCAAGCTGATCTCCTGAAAGTCTTACAGCCTTGCATTCTTCTTGTTTGCCATTTCTTCTCCAGCCTCCCTTTAATACGTGTTCTTCCTCCACATAGAAGTCTTCTGCAAAGATAGCCTTGCCCACAGCTACCTTGTCTTAAGAATAAATCTGGACCCCTTCAGTGCTGGCTCAGCTGCAGTGCTTTCTCTGTTGCCAGAGCTAAGCTTGCTGTGGTACAAGGGAATGGGGAAGGCAGTATGCTTCCAGCCTCCTAACCACAAATGCATGTATGTCTTTGGAGACTTTTGTCCTGCCAGCCTCCTTCCCCTCAGCCCAACCCTATTCCATTAGTTAAGAGTAAACATTTGAGTACCAGCAAGCAAATAACTTTCAGAAAGTCCAGATGAAGGTGTCAGAAATCCACAGAGGAATAGTAAAGAAATATGTAATTAAACTTTCTGTAGCTTGTCATGGACATATGCCTTATGAGAAACATTCTACTTTTTAAGTAGCATCAGTTGTTAGTGCAACAGTACATTTCAAAAGAACTGAAAAGCAGCAGAGCTTCCAACCAACTCTTCTGGAACATATGTAGAAAGCAGTTGTGAAATGAAACTCTAAAATACATCTCTTCTGTAAACTAAAAGGCTTACCAACTCACATTTGTTCTGTATCACACTGAAGCTAATTACCACACACTGACTCATTTCTGTCTGCATCCAGAATAGTCAATGCCATCTGCTGCTTGTTATGCTATGTATTTTTGCACGCACTTCAAATCAGAGGTGGTTTGTTACACATCAGGTATTACTAAGCAATGAAAAAGTTGAAATTTCAATGTTTTTCAGTCTCTTCTGATTGACATTTCTGCCCACCTTTTGCTCTCTGAGAGATTCTTGTACAGAAAGTATACAACCCTTAGAGTAAGGTTTTAGAAATTATTAAACTGCACTTTGTTGGAAAAGAGAATGAGTTTACATAGAACAAGCACCTATGCTAGGTTTGTACTGATAATTAACCACAGTTTTTAATTGTACCTCTTGCATGTGTACCAAAACACAAAAGCAAAAGTTAATTTTTCATATTGTGTTATTACTGTAGCATATTTTATATAGATGTTATGAGAAATATATACCAGATTACTTAAGCACCTTCATGTATATGTAGTTCATAAAATGGAAGATCCTGATTCTGACTCAATTATTTGCCTTTACTCATGGCGTAATAGATAATGTTTGTTCTGGCCCTTTCATTAATCTATCTTTCCTTTGTAGGCATCTGATCCTTTACTGGTGCAGACACCAGCAGTGGTTCCTGGCCCATGCCAGCCTCCAAGGCTACAGGGTAGACCAAGAGCAAGAGAAATTCAGCTGCGCTGGGGTAATTCTATAACTGTTAGTGAGTGTAAGGGATACAAATGTGTTATGTGTTAAAATCAAATGAGCTTTTCATTCTTTCTGATTTTTAGGACCACCTCAGGTAGATGGTGGTTCACCCATTACCTGCTATGGTCTGGAAATGTGTCAGACAGACACGGATGAACACAGAGAGGTTTACCAAGGCTCTGATGTCGAATGCACAGTAGGCAGCCTTCTTCCAGGGAGGACATACAACTTCAGACTGCGAGCAGCTAACAAGGCTGGGGTAAGCAGACAGTCTGAAATGAAATCAGTTCCAGAGACTGCAATCACTAATACGGATCTTCTCTTCTAAAAGAAACATTCAACAATAGTTTTAAATTAGGATTTTCTAATGGAGAGTCATTTGATTCACATAGCTTATTGTTGTGTGGGAACAGACAGGTAAACATCAGTTTATAGTAAAGAGGGGTTTAGAGGTAGGGAAAATACCTCATCTCATATCTGAATAATAGCATTGGGAAATGGTTAGAAAATTATAAGTACTTTATCAAAGCATTGTTGCAACTTTAATATCCTCATGTGAACTAAGGTAGTAAATTATTTTCTGTATACAGCTTTGTAAATTGACCTTTATTTTTACTACTGTTGGTGTTCTAGAACATTAGCATTTCATAGCTCTTTTTTTTATATGTAGTTTAACTTCTGAGTACATGTTCTATCAGATACAAGACTCTTTTCTCTATTTGGAGTATTAAATGTGTTTAAATCCGCTGTTGCTGTAGAACAAGCTCTATTTAATTGTTTCCAAAGTCCTTATTTGAAGACAGAGGCAGGCAGGGCTGCTTCATTTGTTAAATAACATTCTCTTCATAAAAACTACCAAAACCAGTTGCTGTTTGTGGACAAGTCTGTAACTTAAGGCTTTAAAGCATGACCTAACTTCTTACCCACCCTCTGCTAAGAGTGGTTTATAGCTCAAGCATTTTTTGAATCCTTTATTTCTTTGAGATAGATATAAATAGGCAATTACAAATTGTGTGATTTACAGTGCTGCCATAATGTAACTTCAAAATAAGGACTTGGATAGCACTTTGATGTTTTTCCTGAGAGTTTGAAATGTCAAATTTATTCTGTAATTTATTAATAATAAATGTAAATTTATTCTGTATTCATTTGCTGTAGAGAAGAAGGTTCTTGCAGCTATTTTGGAGAACAGTCAAATACTGAAATAAATCCTAAATCCACATTCCACAAGTATTAATTTTATAAGCAAGTAATGCAAAGTTTCAGGCTACTATTATATTCTGTGGTTCTCTAAGATATATCCAACTATGGTAAACTGTTAACTTAAAAAACAGTAATTTTATTTTTACAATTTATTTCTATCAACTCTCTTTTTAATAGTTTGGACTTTACTCGGAAAAATGTGAAATAACTACAGCACCTGGACCACCAGATCAGTGCAAGCCCCCTCAAGTGGCATGCAGATCTGCTGCATGTGCTCAGGTGTCGTGGGAGGTAAGAATGCTTTGTTACACCTATCTGAACATGATTGTCTTCTGCATTTTCAACCTTTAAATCTTAAAGACTGTATTTTATTAATCACAATTTTGAACATTCTTAACTGATTATCCAGTACTTGGTCAGTAAAACCTTAGTCATTCATCATGCCATTATATATGACAGCTGTAAGTTGGCAGCCTGCGGGTACTTGAGATCTTTGTTCTTTTGTTTAAGAATTTTGCCATAACTGCAGCACTGCATGTCTGACTGGTGCAGGCTCTTAAAATTTTTCTTTAGTGTAGTTATCTTTCCTCAGAGCTGATATAGCCACATATTACAGTGGATTATTCTGCATTTGCTGTCTTTATAAGATGATTTAATTTTATATATCTACATCAAAAATAACATAGCAAAAGTCTCCTAGAAACCCACAGTATTTAGATATCTGATTAAAAAGATGCAGTAGATAAAAATTAAGCTAGTAGAAAGGAAGAGTCTATCTGGGAATACTCTTTAAACACAGCTTTTCAGTGGCTTGAGATGGAGTGGAATAGCTGAGTTACAGAACTGTGCAGAAAAAAACCCAAAAGATTCAACTGTATTACCTGGAAGGTAGAAAATTGATGTTTCTTAATGGGCGTGACAGAGGAGCTCTCCTTAAATGTCTACAAGGCAAAACGGTTTGAAGAAATCTCTCACAATGTTCAGGTAGGATTAATTTGACCAATGTTAGATGTCTCTTTTATAGAATCAGAGTAATTAAGGTACAAGTGGACCTCTAGATGTCATTTAGTTCAGCCTTCTGTTCAAAGCAGAGCTAACATCAAAGTTAAGTCAGGTTTCTCAGTGCCTTGTCCCATCAAGTTTAACTTGCCTCTAAAGATGAAGATTCTGCAGCTTCATAAACCTGTCTCTGGCCAAACTTTCTCATGCTGTAGATTTTTTTTGTCCTTTATGTCTAGTCAAAATATTCTTCAGTGCAAGTAATGACTCTTGCTTCTTACCTTGCCACTGTGCCACCTCCAAGAATTTGTCATCTTCTTTGTACCCTCCCAGTAAGTAATTTAAGGCAGCAGTAAGATCTCCCCTTTACCTATCATGCTGATACCAAATAATCCGTACCTTTGTTTTTCACTGCAGTCCCCCTTAGTGGCCTTTCATTTGGCTTACTCCTTTATGTCAATGTCTATCTTATATGGAGGAGCCCAAGACACGACACAGTACTGGAGTACAAATACTGAGTAGAGGGGAATCATTACTCCTTTTAGTCTTCTTGCTGTTCTTTTGCTAATACAACCAGTATGTAGTTCACCTTCATCAGACACACATTGCTGACTCATCTGCAACTTTCTCACCAGGACATGCAGGTTCTTCTTTTGGTAAAGTTGCTCCTCAGCCAGTACTGTTCTCCCAGGTCCAGGACCTTGTGCTTGCCTTTGTCATAGTTGAACTTCCTGAAGTTTGTATCACATCCTGTTTGTGGAAGTTCCTCTGGTAGCCATACCTTCAGCATATTAAATGCTGCCCCTCCTTTTGTTGTCATCCCCGCATGTATTAGCTTGTGTTTTCCTACTTCTGTTAAGGTGAACTCTTAGATCTACAGCAGCAACAGTGCTAACATTAAGAAATGACACCATCCTCACCGACAGCTACACAGCCATCTACAGCTGCATTAGTTCTCTCACCAAACACATCTCATTGTAAGTGAGAGAAGGGGAGTCCTTATCAGTCACAGCTCAGAAGCGTCAAATGTTGTCCTTTGAAATGTTTGTATTCAGTCACTTACCTGCACATAGCTTAGTGCTGAAAGTAGCAAATACTCATCTTTCAAGAGAAGGGTAAAGAAAAAAACATGCTTTGGAGCAATTATTATCTGCACCTTGGCATGATTGCTGCCTTGGAATATTTAATCCAGAACAGCAGCAGCTTTTTTATTCTGTTTTCTTCATAGGCTAAGAAATTTTCTGTTGGGGTTTAAATTAAAAATCAGCAAAGAAACAGGAGGGTAACATTTCTGTGGAAAAGACCATATAGATGTGATGAGTTTGGTTGGTTTTGGTTTTTTCAGTCAGTGAATTTAACTTACTATTTGTATCCATTTTAAAGGTTCCAGTGAGTAATGGAGCTGATGTCACGGAGTATCGCCTGGAGTGGGGCGGCGTGGAAGGATGCATGCAGATGTCCTATTGTGGGCCTGGGCTCAGCTGTGAAATGAAAGGGCTTTTGCCTGCCACTATTTATTATTGCAGGGTTCAGGTAAAGACATAAAACTATTGTTAGTGAAATCTGGAAACGGGAATTGATTCTTCCATAAAAATGTGGTCTCCTTTGCCTTTGCAGGCAGTGAATGTCGCAGGTGCAGGCCCTTTCAGTGAAGTAGTGGCATGTATGACTCCAGCCTCGGTACCTGCAGTTGTGACTTGTCTTCGGGGACTAAGTGAAGATGAAGTTGAAAGTCTGCACTATTCTCCTTCCACATGCCTTGCTATAAGCTGGGAAAAACCTTGTGACCATGGATCTGAAATCCTTGGCTACAGCATAGACTTTGGAGATAAGCAGCCAATAACTGTTGGGAAGGTTCTGAACTATTTTATAGACGGCTTACAGCCAGATACTACCTACAGGTATGCCATGTACAGCTACTTGACAACCTACTGTTATTCCACAAGAGACGATTCTTTATTTCTCAGTTTCCTTGTATTTTTTATTCTTTACGTTACTCTTAGAGAAGAATTAGTGCATGGCCATAGAGCAAAAGGAAGCTTTATAATGATGATCTTCATAAACAGATGGTTTTACTTTCTTTCAAGAACAATTTATGTTAGTTTGTTTATTGTGGTATTCTTGTAACTAGTTAATGTGTCAGTTTAACTGAATTCAGATTACAGTTTCAGATTCATAACTGGTTTTTGGACTGGTTGCTTCATAAATAGGTAACCTCTAACCTGTTTGACAAGATGAAATCCATCAAAGGAAGGACCATGTCCAGTCTTTATTGACTGGATTATCTGATCTAATGACAGCTCATCACAACTTGCAATGTCTTTTCTGCAGAAATACCAAGCATTTGCGTGTTTAGTTGCTAAAATCATCCTTTATGTTTGGTCTAAGGGTTACTGAAAAATAGAAATGTAAATATCAGTAATTCTACCTGAAGGCACTCTACGTTCCTGTTACAAAACTGTGTCCTCAGTGTTAAAGGAGAATGTCAGTCCCACTGAAGTCAGAATTTAAGCCCACACTGATTTCAGTATAGCTAGGATATCATCTGGCTAGGCAGTTTCCTGAATCCTTAAAGATCTGTTTCTATTTTTTTAATGCTGTGTGTAAGACTAGTATAGTTTTGTGTGTATTACACATATTTAACAGTAATGCTGGCAATTTGAAGAGCCACTGCACTCTGTGTCAACAAACTATAAAAACCAGGAGCTTCTAGTGCAGAGATAGTTCTGTGCAAAGGCCAGGTTGGGTGGGACTTTGAGCAACCTGGTCTAGTGGAAGGTGTCCTCTCCACTAGGGACCATCTTCCATCTTGTTCCATCTAATTCCAACCCCACTCTCATGGGGTTGGAACTAAATGGTCTTTAAGGTCCCTTCCAAACCAAATCATTCTATGATTCTACCCACAAAAGTGCTTTTATAGAATGTATTTGCCTATTCTCTGTGCAAATAAAACATCGCATATATTAACCTTAGTTCTGTGCTGTAATAAATTATCATAATGTTAAATATTACTGTAGTGAAGGAGAAATATTTATTCATAAGCCTGCACCCATTTGTGTTTCAATATTTTGAAATTGTGTGATTGACAGTTTCACAATTTAATTACTGTGATTACTTTTTTCCAGTTACCTAGATACAGTTACCTGGATGTTTTAGACAAGCAAATGTTCATTGGCATATTGAGATTAGCTCACTTTGCTCTCTATGGCTACCTGTGAGATATGCAAAGAGCCTCAGATTTCTGTTTTCTGCTTTTTCATTTTTAGAAATGAATTTATTAGCTAATCCTTTTAATTCTTACTTTTGTAAACCTAATGCCAGCATTGTTTTCCATGGAGTATCCAAAAAAAAAATACATTATCCCTGAATTTTGAGTTCTACAAACCCCTCTTCCACGTGTCCTTTGACTTCTAGTTTTCCCCTCTCCCTTTCCAAGCAGACCCAAGATGGCTTGTGTTTGCAGCACCCAGAGATGTGGTACCAGTGGAGAGTTTCAGAATGCCCGTAAAACTTCCCTGTAGTCATCCTGGAGCTCACCTGACATAATAGCCAAAGATACAGATTCACCTCTTTTAGGGGTGGGTTTTTTTCTCCTTCCCTTATGTCTTCAGTGTGGCTATCCAAACTTTTGGTACAAAGCCTGCAGGGTCAGGATGCTGGGCCACTCTTGAAGCGGCTGATAGAGCTTTTGCGTCTTTTCGCTAATGTGAATGATGCAAATATGCTAACGCATATTTTGGAACAATCCAGCTCCTTAAACTGTGGCAAGAAAAGTGACTCTCCTGCATACTCACGACAGTCTATCAAAGCATAATATTGATAAAAGTCTTCACTGTAGAAAGTACCATCTGTTCGGTGCCATTGTTCTCTCTTGAATGTGAATGATGAAAACGACCAGTTATTTTTTGGAATGTGATTTCAAGTTAATGTATTCTCTTTTTTCAAATACCAGAGTACGAATTCAAGCCCTGAACAGTCTCGGAGCAGGTCCTTTCAGCCACACCATAAAACTGAAAACGAAGCCTCTTCCCCCAGATCCACCTCGCCTGGAATGTGCTGCATACAGTTCTCAGACTCTCAAGCTGAAGTGGGGAGAGGGAACTGCAAAAGCACTAACTGACTCCATTCAGTACCACCTTCAAATGGAGGATAAGAACGGAAGGTTGGTTGTGGCATCCTTTTAATCTGCCCTGTATCACTGTGGTCTGATGCTTGGGAGATGGCAGCAAAGGGCAAAATACATAGAATTTTGCTGAATTTACCACGGACATGGTAAGGCAGAAGGGCTCTAGTGTTCCATGCTGGGAAGTACAAGATCAGAAACTTCATAGTTCTTATTTATAGTTCAATATGAAGAGTTTTATGAAATGTTGCATACCAGCACACTTTTCTCTCTCGCATTTGGTCAAGTATTTTGTGGAAGTATCAAGTCTAATCAGTCTTGTGGATTCTATATATGGAATGAATCCTCTACTCTGTTGTCTTTATATGCAGTTATTTTTAGTGGAAAATAAACTCGTATAGTACAATGTATTATTTTAAGCGATCCTTTGTCTCATGTTAAATCGGAATGTAAGCTGATGGTACAGCAAGTACCCTTGCCTAAATGGTAAAATGAACAATACTGCCACACAGTGTAGTGTCTCTGAATCTCTGAATAGCTTTAGCTTGACAGTGAGACAAACCATCTACTAGGTGAAGTTGCTCTGTTGTGAGGAAAAGAAATTAGACTCATAACTGGAAAGAAATTCATTGCCATTACCAAATACTAGGTCCTGTGCAGGTACTATCTGTTTTAAACATAAAAGAAGAGTTGAAGTGGAAGATAACCTCTGCAGAAAGAGATGAACTTGTGCTGTGTCCTGGGGACACCAAAATTGAAAATCGAATGAGAGCTGCCAAGATCAGTCTGTTTAAGAATTATAACGTGAAGGAGAGTGGCCAGTCTACAAAGCTCTCACAACAGGACTCGGTGTGTGCTGCAAGCGTGACTCTGGCCTATTCTGCAGGACTGAGTGAGCTTCATCAGTCACCCATCTCTGACAATGATGTGCAAGAGCAGCTGGATCCATGACCCCTTCTTAGCAGTAGTAAGGGAGAGTTGCAAAGGAGCAAAAAGCTAAAATCTGATTACCTAATTTTGAAAAGCTAAAGATGTTGGGGAACTAGATGGCCAAAAATAAACAGTGTATAAAACAGTTTGTTGAAAGAGAGAACTGCTGTCCTTTCCCATTGCTTCAGGTGCAGAAGGATTTCTGAAAATGCTTAGGATCATTCTTTCCCAGAGACAATCTATAGTACTCTATATGTACAAGAGATTTTTATTTCAAAGATCAGTGAAATAAAAACATGGCCCTGGAAAATGAGCTTATTGTTCTGTAGTAATGGCAAGACACTGTTTAACTCTGAAATAAATATTTCTGGGCTTCTCATTAGATTCTGGGAAATCATGGGCATAGATTTTAAGACCAAACTGTAGGTTCTTTGGAAGTCCTTTCTGTGTTTAAATAAGCTACTCTTTCCACTTCTAGGTTTGTATCCTTATACAGAGGACCATGTCATACATACAAAGTACAAAGGCTCAGTGAGTCAACATCATACAAATTTTGTATTCAGGCGTGTAACGAAGCTGGTGAAGGTCCCCTTTCTCAAGAATATGTTTTCACTACTCCCAAATCTGTTCCAGCTGCCTTGAAAGGTAAAGGTGCTTTTTGGGGGTGAGGAGATGACAAGTTGGGGGGTCATTTGGGGGATGAGGAGATGACAAGTTGGTTTTGGTATTGTGTTATATTAGGGGTATTTAAGATGCTAAGCCTTTTTCCAAATGCAGGCAGGGATAGTAAGGAAATGTTCCTTCATTGCCTAAAGCTTTTAAAATACTAGCTTAAAAAATGAGAGACTTGGGACTTCTAGGTTCTTTGACATAAGAAGGTTTGTACTTAGAATCCTTGCTTACCAGGAGAGAGTGACCAGGCTGTTAAAGTGAGGTGAAAATTCTTCCTACCATGTTTAGTATAATTTTAAGCATAGCAGCTATGGGTTGGTTGGTGGGTTTTTGCATATGATACACACGTGCAGTGCTTTCTGTTGGATGATACATAAATGAGCAAGAGAGACCTGTGTAAACTGTTAGTTGTTATTCCAGGAAATGTTGCAGGAAGAGCACATTTGAATCTGAATCTTTTGTTTCTGTGAGATAAGATAACAGCTAGAATACAGGATTTCACAAGTGGTCAGAATATAACGACATTAAGTGATGGGGAAAGTGGAGCTTGCCGTCACCTCTGTGTTTGCTCCCTTCAGCACCAAGGATAGAGAGGATAAATGATCACACTTGTGAGATCACGTGGGAGATTCTGCAGCCCATGAAGGGTGATCCTGTTATCTACTGTCTTCAGGTCATGGCGGGAAAAGACTCAGAATTCAAACAGGTATGATGTCCTTCTGTTACTGTATTTTAATTCCATTTGTATTTGTGGTAACTCATTTAGATTAAAGATTATTGTGTTGACAGTATGGTTTTAGGCACCATGCTAACTTTTTGTTACTAAGTAATAAAAGGTAGTATCTCATAAAACCATTGTCACAGAGAAAAAAGATTTAAGGAATATAAATATTGCACTAAGTTGCACCTCACCTGAGGTGGTGAGGAAATTGTCCACTAATAGGAAGAACTGAAAAAAAGAAAACATCCACCCAATGGTACCAAATTGAGACTTGTGAGAAAAAGATCAAAGGGTTCTCGTTGCACTAGGAGCTTTCTGAAGGCAGTAAGCAGTATTATAGAAGATTTGACTTTGGCAAAGTCATAATTCTCTACAGAGAACTGCAGGTAGGAAAGAGCCCCTACCTTGCAATGTAGACATTGAGCTGTTGGGAAACTTAATGTAATTCAGCGATTAGTTTTTTACCATAGGACCATTTCAGTTGTAAGGCCATGCTGTAACCACAAGGGTCAAGCATTTGTGAGTGTGTTTTAATTTCAGGTTTGATTATCCAAAGATGCAGCTGGGAACCCAAGCTACAAATCAGTCTGCATTTAAAAGAGGATGTGCAGTGCTAATTTTGCATCCCTATAAACTGCCTGATAATTGACATGAAATCAGACTTGGAAACTGTTTCACACTGTTAAGTAATCAGGTTTCCTTCCAGAAACGAAACACAATTCAGGTTTATTATAATTTTATTATAGGTCAATATACGTCAATACTAAGTAAGTTTTGCCTGTGCTTTAGTAGATTATAGGCCTTAATATTTTCGTAATTCATAACTTCTAGCGTAGTGCTATGTCTGTTATGTCCATTTGTTAGATTTTTCAGTAGAAAATGAACCATGCTCCAAGCTATTTGTTGCCTTGCCATGTGAATATTCTTTATCGTAACCTTGACATTGCAAATGCAGTATGAAGTATGTAAGTGAGGTATGGTCAGTGCTGCTTCTCGACATGGAGTCAAATCAGGCTGATCATTGCCAGATGAGCTGGACAAGAAAATAAAGGTTACGCCTTAAGCCTGGAAATAAGAAAGTAGGCTGAGGTGCATGATTCCTTTTTCCTTTCCAGAGCAGTTCAGCACAGTACATTAAAATAAAATGAGGAGACGAGTTTGCAAAACTTAAAATTGGAACAGTCAAGAAGTAAACACCATGTAAATGGCCTGTAAGATACTTAGACATGATGGTGACAGTTTTCTTCGATGGAGACAAAAAAGAAGTCCTGGAAGTTCAATCCAAGCTGTTTACTACCATTTCCTTGCCTAAACTTCACTCTCCTCTCCCCACCCAGTCTGTCAGCCAAGTTGCTCATGTGTTTCTCCCTACATGCTTAAGAGAAAATAAGTTAGTAATCTGCTATTTGAGTATATACATCAGTCAAGGTTTTCAGGGGGTTAGAAAGCAACCCTATAAATACCCTCGCAAACACTTTTGAGGGCAAGGCACTGGGGGACAAGTGGCTGTGTGTGTCTGTGCCCTGTTTGCTCACTACCAAACGCATGATACAAATAAGCAGAATTTAGAGGAAGCTGCACTTCTGATGACCTGCCCTGTCTCAGGGTGAGGGCAATTTCCTGAGAGAAAGGGAAGTCTCTAGGTTGTAGGTTCCAGTAAAGCTCAGCTGCCTTGGCTGTCAGAGGGCTTTCCAAGTCTATGAGCAGCCTCAGGCACAGCAAGAGCTCTTCAAACAGTAAAATCGGAGGGTTTTCCTGCCTCTTTCATGGAATGGTTGGTAGTTTGCATTCGTGGAATACTGTCTAACAGGATGATAACTGCAAGGAAAACTTCTGCATGATGTGGTATTTCTGTATTGTGGTACCAAGTAAATAAAGGAAATCCAGATAATGAGGTGTGAAGGGATTTAAAGAGAGAAATCAAGTTGCACTGTGTTACACACCTAACAGCTCAGTACCTACTGATATACCTGTTGTCCTGGGTTCAGCTACAGCAGTCATTTTTTCTCCTTCTTAGTAGCTGGTGCAGTGCTGTGTTTTTGACTTTCAGTCTGGGAACAACGCTGATAACACCGATGTTTTTAGTTGTTGCTCAGTAATGTTTACTCTGACCAAGGACTTTTCTCAGTCTCATGCTTTGCCAGAGAGGAGGGGAAGCCAGGAGGAAGCAGAGGCAGGACACCTGACCCAAACTGGCCAAAGGGGTATTCCATACCACAGCACGTCATGCCCAGTATAGAAACTGGGGGGAGTTACCCAGAAGGCCCAGATCGCTGCTCGGGTCGGGCTGGGTATCGGTCGGCGGGTGGTGAGCGGTTGTGTCCTTTTCCCTTGTTATTCCTCTTATCATTATTATTGGTAGCAGTAGTGGTTTGTATTATACCTTAGTTACTGGAGAGCTGTTATCTCAAC